TTAGTTTCTCAAACCTTGCAATTTGTTTGTTGTTAACATTAGTGGCTCCGAACAGAGTTGCTGTACCTCTAGTTGATAGTTTCATAGTTTTCCCATGATCAAAAGCTGGAATGAAGCAAACAGCCGCTTCGTTTGGAGCAGACAAGACACTTGAGTTAGCGACATCAAATATAGCATAGAGAAATCCATCAAAGATTTATCGGATGGTTCCACCACCATAGGCAGATTAAAGAAAGGATACAACCAAATAGAAGGAACCAAACCCGCATTAGAAATCCCTATTAGCAAACTATTATAAAGATTAAAGGCCGACATTGACTTCACTAATTTGAAACTAATGCTATTGATTTAACAATGAAACTTCAAAGCTACACCAATTGAAAATTAACACATACCTAGTGGCGAAAGTAGAAAGAAATCTCATACCATGGACGAAGCCAAAAACCCGTCACCGGAACCCGACACCAAAACAAAGTGAATCGGAAATGGAAAAGAGAAATTAGATCGAATACATCCATGACTACTGGTCACAATGTTGAACGGTCACCCTTCTAATGGGTCAATACATCCATGAAAAATGCATCGTAAACTTGGATCTCCGGATAAAAAAGATTGGGATCATATAATTTCTTGAATTTTCTTAATGGTTTTGGACAAGCAAGCAACACGAGATTTAATTGTTGAAGAATGTTATTTTAAGTACCAGAAAGGAGTCCAGTTCAATCAGAGCCGGCCACGGTGAAGAAAGGCTCTGATAGAGAAAACAGGATTACAGCCGGAGGAGGGAGAAAGAGAGAGAAAGGTAGTGAGATATTTTACCTTTCCAATCAAAGTCGGCTTGGCTCAAGCCGATAACCGAAGAAAATTACCAAGGTGAAGATATGAGAGTTGACGGGACAAGAGATGAAACGACGCCGTTCCGAGTTCCTTACATGAACTTACAGGAAAAAAATGTACAGAAGATCCGAACTGCCTAATCTTAGTTAAAAGTTAGTTTAAAAATTTGCAGGGCCCTATAAATAGGGTTCGGATAAAGTAGATATCGTCCATCTAGTAATTTACGACTAGGGTTCTTCTTCGATCTCTCGTGGTTGTTTCTCCTCCCTGTTAGGGTTTTTTTCTGGAAAATAACTCCTATACCGTCGTTTGCGTCAATGATTCTTCAGGCCCGAGTAGAGATTGGTTGAGCCTGACGAACGAGATGTTGGAAGAGATAGTAAACCGGTTTTCGTCGGGGGAAGATTTCATGGCTTTCAGGGGAGTTTGTACTTCCTGGCGAGCCGCTGCGAGCAAAGATAAGTTTATCAAGTGATCGGTTAGGAGACAAAAGGTTCCCTTGCTTATGCTTGGAGAAAAGGACGACACCGGCGATCGGGAATTTTACAACCTAACCAGGTAGAAAAAGGTTATGAAGTTACCCTTATCGGAGGCAAAGTATAAAATTTGTACGGAAGCAGGGTTTGGGTGGTTATTCACGGGTGGAATTTTCTCAGGAGAGGTTACTTTATTGGACCCCATCACTCGTTCTCAAATCCAACTCCCTGACAGTAGAACCTTCCCGGTTTATGATGCCCAACGCCAGGTGCGATTGTTGGAGTTATTTTTAATATATTGTAGGGACACAATTAATATGTTGTGTCTATTTGGTATTTTTAATATATTGTAGAGACACAACTAATAGGTTGTGCCTATGAACTCCATATAAAAAGAAATTAACGAAAAGTTATGTCTAGAACCATAACCAAGGATTACGTCTAATTCTCAAGAGTTTCCTCTAACTGTATAAATATGGATCATTTGGATGCTTTTAGTGTACAATGAAATCACCAAATACTTGAAATATTTCCAATGACATTTCTTATCTTTGTATCAGGTTTTTGGTTTACTAAAGTGCATAGTGAAAGAACATGATCTCCATTTTATCTCTTAGGGAATTCGCCTAGACAATTGCACTGTATAGTGGACGAATTTAGCCTAAAGGAAAGTAAGTTTACTTGTGACTTGGAGACAAAACTTTCATTTGTCCTAACCATAAATTCTTCCTCTTGTTCTTTGATCTAGTGCAACCTTTATTGTCCGCTATTCTTGAAATAAAATTCCAACAATCTTTAGGCTAAATTTTCCTGTTAAACAATGGCTAGTACTTGAAGAATCAAGCAAGGATATTTTCGTTGCACACGAAAATGGTAGAAATGTGCAGATCATTTGATTTAATGGAAAGGGCAATGATAGGATAATGGACCTCGTCATCAAAGTAAGAATTATATTTTACTTGTGAATTGTGACATTCCAAGTTCAATGTATGTATATATTTAATAAATACATGAACGTAGTGATGAGATTTATGCCTGAGTGGAACATGGTTGTAGAATTCATGAACTTTTACATGTAAAAGAAATTTATTATATATTATTTGTTGATCGCCCAAATGTATGGTTTATATCAAAATGAAATACTTAATTAATGTGATGATGAATTAAGAAAATGTTTGTCATAAAAGGTTTGATAGAGAATTTGGTCATGTTTTTATCATGTTTTAAAATGGAAATGCAAAATTGGCATTTGATATAGTAATAGTGCTTTGAGTGCATATTATAAATGTGTTTCTTAAAGATACCAAGTGAGTGGTGTTCCATTTAGAGACCCTAATTCTTCTGAAAGTGTGGCTCTTTCTAATAGTTCTTCAAGTGAACTTAAGAGGAAGGAAAATGACTCTTATAGAGGTTAGACGATCTCAACGGCAAAGAAAAGAAAAACAATTGCCCTCAGATTTTATATCTTCACAGGCAATAGTCTTTCTTGTTGAAGACAATAGGGACTCTCTACTTAGTAAAATTCCATTTTTACTTAGTGTAGAGGAAGACCCAAAAACCTACAAAGAAGCTATGAGTTCTAGAGATGCTGCATTTTGAAAGGAAGCAATCAACGATGAAATGGACTCAATATTATCCAATAATACTTGGGTTCTAGTTGATTTGCTTCAAGGCTCAAAACCTATTGGTTGTAAGTGGGTATTTCGAAGAAAGTATGCCACTAATGGAACTATACTAGCTTATAAGGCACGATTAGTGGCCAAAGGTTTTAAACAAAGAGAAGGAATTGACTCCCCCCAAGCCGATTTACCGGTCCGTTGGCCGGTCTGGGGACCGGTCTGGGGTTATGTTGATAAACTTGGTCCGGCTAAAAATCATTCTGGTTGTTTTTTATTGTTGTTGTGTTTTAATTCAATCAAGTGGAATAGCCCACCCTCAGTATAGATCTCGGATCATTTCTTTACTGAGTAAATTTAGTGCGTCATCGGAACCGTCCGTTGGTCGAGTCTGAATTTGATGTGTATTGTTCGTCGTTAATGACGATACATTTGTGCTTCAGTCTGCGGATTAGTGATATATTCGAGTTCGGAATTTTATTCTGTTCCGTGATATGTCCGATATTAGAATTATGCCATTATAGGATTGTTAATCTTTTTGGCAGTTGTTTTGATCTAGTCACTGGTGCAGTGACTAGTACCGTTAGTACGTCATTAGGACGGTTCGAGTACGTCATTTTGGACGGTCTGTTTTTGTATCAAATAGTGCTGGACCATTTCCAGTAATCTTAATAGAGTATGTTTTCCTTAAAAAAAAAAGATAAGGAATTGACTATTTTGACACATATGCACCAGTGGCTAGAATTACTTCGATTCGTGTACTTCTGGCTTTAGCTTCTCTCTATGATTTGTCTGTACATCAAACGGATGTTAAGATAGTATTCTTGAATGGTGATCTTGAAGAAGAGGTGTATATGGAACAACCGGAAGGCTTTGTGCTACCGGGGAATGAAAGCAAGGTATGTAAGTTGGTAAAATCACTATACGGACTCAAACAGGCACCTAAACAATGGCATGAGATATTTGCGTCAGTTTTACTTTCAAATGGCTTTAGATTTAATCATGCTGACAAGTGCATGTATACTAAAGTGTGTGATGAGTATATAGTGGTTATTTGCTTATATGTTGATGACATGCTCATCGTAAGTACCACTATGAAAGGTGTGGTAGATACTAAAAAGTATCTTTCTTCTAAGTTCAAAATGAAAGATCTTGGTGGAGTAGATACTATTTTAGGGATAAAAGTTAAACGGCATAGTGGGGGTTTTGTGTTTTCTCAGTCACATTACGTTGATAAACTTCTAACCAAGTATTAACATATGAATGTGAAATTTGTAAAGTTTGTAATTCAAAACTAAACTATATATTACGGGAAGTAAAAGGAGAAACTAGTTTTAACTGATTTTTTGGGATTTTTTTCTTTTTTTATTTAAAATGATAAAATGTTAATTTTCATTCTTACTTCAACTTGAATTTTTTTTCTTTATTTTCCGTATTTTAAAAAAATATTTAATAATTTAAGAGGTTGAAATATAAAATGTAAATTAATTCTTGAAATTTGTTAATTATATTAGTACCAACATATACAAGTTAGGAATTATAAGAAGAATTGTTTAAAAAAAAATCAAAATTAAATTTTTTTAAATATAAAATGACGATGGGTTCAACTCAAATGTTTTGCATGTGAAAAATAATTTTCCGTCATGATGTAATGGTCAAAAGTAACAGAATGACCTCGAATGAATTTTTGGCTTAGTAAAGGGTTCTGTTTTATAAAGTAAATTTGATTAATGACATGTGATAAAATTACCCCAATAATTCGATAACATGTTTTATGGTTCACTCATTTATTTAATGTTTCATTGACATTAATGAATTTGTTAAAAAAAAAGGCATATTTTTTTAATGGATGGAGTAATTGATGGATAAAGAGGCGGAAGCACATGTCATTATGTCAAGAATCCAAAACGGGGATGACATCAGGTCAGGGAAGAAGGGTAGCATAGTGTTTGAATGGGCCTGATCGGCTACAAGCGGCTTCTTGAGGCAAATGTAAACAATGGTCATTTGGTTGTTCAATGGAAGAAGACTAAAAATTGTGAAACCAATCAACGATTAGAATACATTACATCGAGCCAGATTGTAGAATTTTAATAGTCCATTATATTATACCCTTTTCATTCAATAAAATGGACTAAGTAGGAAGAAAAAGTTACCCAAATGCCTAACTCGTGTCACATTAAGCGTGTGCGTCAGTTCCTTGCCTATAAACATCATATAAATTTCACGTTCATTGTCCCACACAGAACATCATACAAAGTGCACAGTTGGAAGACAAATTTTTACCACATTTTTCCTTTCTATGGAAATTGATGAATTCTATTGTACATCTAAGCAACAAAGAATAAGAAAATCATCAAGAACACAACCAATACAAAGAATATCTTGATCATCAGCCATCTGTTTGATGATATACTGTTCAGGTACCTAACCAGCTGCTGTTGAGCCCCCTCCACATTTGCAAGAGTATCCTCCACATTTTCGTCGATTCTGCAATTCACAAAACACAAAAGATTGAGATTCCGCCCAGACTTTTCCTCATCAATCTGGACCAAAGTACCAAAGAAGATGCCATTAAATGTTACAGATAGCGTGATTTTGAAAGCCTATCTAGAAACCTCAAAAGTAATACTCTCAAACAAAGTTATCCAGCAAGGAATTCCACTATAAGTGAAAACTGACTCCTAAAGAATCCAGTGTGGCAATACTTGACTTGGTGGTCAATGAGCATTTCACATGACGTGATCGTATTAAAACAAAGCAAAATAGCAATGTTCACTTCCAAAGTAAATTAACAGCTTACGACACGCGAACCCTTAAAATTATAAACAAACAAGGACTGATGCTAAAAGTAGCAACAAGATCGCCAACCAACCTAATAGCAAGCTCGCCTTGCTGAGAAACCATCGTTGCCAACTGAGTGAATATATTGCTAAGCTCATGAATTGTTGACTCCACATTGTGAAGGGCTTCAGCTCTGCTTTGCATGTAATTGTCTTGCAAGGGAACCAACTGCTGCTGTTGGTTTTGTTGCTGTTGAAGCAAAGGTTGGGATTCTCCATCTGCTTGGTTCCTGGGGGACAGAAAATCAAATCATAAGAATCCCCAAATGCATAATTATAATCTGGCAGAACTGCAGTTAGAGATTTAGCAGCATTGTATAGCCCAGGATAACTCCAACGAAGTGAACTATCTAGTTTACTTCGAATTTATATTTTTCCTAACCATTTTACATTGAACTCAGACACAAAATTGATGACGCTGGAAACTGCACAGTATGTGTACAAGCACAGCATATTCTCAGGGACAACACACGTACTTGACTACTAAAGCGCCACACAGGAAACAGCAAGCAGGTGCCTAAGTCTTTCCGAAATCAGAGAAATCATGATACACCCTCACAACAACATAGAAGAGGTTTCCATTTACTGTAGAACAAATTTAACCTATCAATTATACCTTGGAAATAACTCAGATGAAGAACCAGCACCATTTGCCCATAACGGGGGAGATCTTGTCGAGCCAGGAGCAGAAGCATTAGGTTTGTTAACTAAGGGCCTTTGGCGAACAAAGGGGTTGGTAGACTCCTTCGGCACCGTAGAAAACATTTTTTTTCTGTTTTCATTAGACTTGAGCTTCTGGAGTTGCCAAAAGAAACAAACTTTAGGATTATAAAGCAACTAAACTTTTTCATTTAAAGCAACAACCACTCTCTATAGCCCAGAAATAAAAGTACACTAGTCAGTAGATACTGTATCGAGTAACAAACAACAAACCTCTGTCCTCTTCGTTAGTACTTCTTTAAACTCTTTTGTTGCGGTCATCAAGCTATTCTTCAAGTTATCAACAACCGTGATTGAATGGGCAGCATTATCTGCTGATACGCCAGCTTCATTCTGGGAGTCGCACAGAATTTGTAGATCTCTTACAGCCGAGTTAAGTGCTGATATATCCTCCTTAATCACAGCTGTCAACTCTTGGATCTCAATTGTTGGATCATTAAAGTATGTTGTTGTCTTCGCCACTGGTAGGAACAGATGTCGTGTCATAATCTTTTCATTTAGAAATGTATGCGTGTAAATGAACACAACGAAATGAAAAGGAACACCAGAAAATGAAATAAAAAGAAGATAGGCATCCATTTGAAAGAAAAACAAAACCATAATGGACATCACAACAACAAAAACTTGATATCCGAAGAAATTGATGATTTAAAAAGCACACTTTTTTGAAAACTAAAATTCACTGGCAGTCTCGAAGACAATAAAACGAGTTTGTGAATATCTTAATTTGGCTATGGAGAGGTCTTAAATGGTTCCTTCTTTCTCATGCCTCTCATTTTATATTTATAACAGCAGCAAGGACCTACTTGAAACCATCCTAAGTTTAACAATTTTTTAACTGAATTCAAGCCAACTCAGTGTTTCTCTTTTCCAGGTTTCAAGCGGATTTATTTACTTGAAACCCACAACCCAAGCACCTCATCAGGCGAAATGCCAAAATCAGATATAGCAAATTGAGGGTGGTCAGATCTTCCCGAACCGACCCTCCCGCATCGAGTTATTCATCAATAAGACATTCAATTACCACAAGCACAAGAACAAACCGAATTTGAAGAACGGCATTGATCTCCTAAAGAAATCCTAAATAAACCTAGATTCCAAGACACAAAAAAGTAGAAAGAAAACGAAAGAATGTAACAGGAGTACTGAATTACCGACATTTGGCTAGCTTGGAGAGCTTCTGAGAGGTCTGATGGATTCCTAAACCAATTCTGGAAGCTCGCTTGCTAAATTCGGTTTGATTCGGAGCACCGGATCGCGCCGACGACGATTGTTGAACAACCCGAGACGGCAAGCTCTCATCATATCCTCCAACGCCGCGGCTACTGCTCGGCGCATGAGAAGGCGGCAAGGAGGAGGCCGCCGGCGACGATTTACGGAGCCTGTCAACAATGTTCTCGAACTCCAACGTCCGATCCTTATACGACGTAGCTTTAACAGGCATTGTTACGGGACCTCAACAAATGTTACCACAAATCAGAATCCAAACCAAAATTTGAGGATAAAATCAGACCGCCTCCGTCTGAGAATATCCGTATTACAGCAAACTAGATCACTAGATCTGATGGATTGTTCTTCTTCCTTTCTGGAAACTTCTTCTTCAAAACCCCAACAAATTGAGTAATTTTGATTTATTCACAGCTGATTACGCCAACTGGATACCCACCTTCGGCCTTTTCTGCTGCGCTGTGCCAATTTTTGAAAAAGGATGAAAATCCCGAGTACTAAAAATGAATGAATAATTAAACCGGGGGTTTGTGACGAAGAAGATGAAAATTAGACCGGGTGGACTTTTTTTTAGAAGATAATAATTTGACACGCTTTATTAAATTGCAATACTTTGAGGTTAAGTTATGCATATATGATTTGTATTTGTAGCTTCTTCTTCTTCTTCCTTTTTTTTTTTTTTGACCCCTTTAAAATCCTTCAATATAACAAGAACAAATAGATTAGATTTAATTTCGTTCAATGTCAAACTTAAGTTTTGACCTATAATTAGGAGCCGATAAATCAATATCTCCGTGTTTTAGTCTTTTTGTCCTTAAATCAATAAATATCTTATTAACTTTTATTAGTTCACTTGACATTTAACAAAAATTAATGCAATTATTGAATATTCATACAACTCTTTATATTTCCTAGCCCATCGAAACTTTTCATCAATAGATGCTAGAACCAAATTCACGGCTAAAAAGAGTTAAAAACATTGATTCAGTGGTTCATGGTGCTATATTATAAAATTATTAAATATTTTCATCGTCCCAAAATGATGTAGCAGAAGAATATGAAATAGATGGTTGTCATGCCTTTAATTTGATACAATGTGACAATCACTTATCCAATCATGTATATTTTCGATACTCCATTGTTTCCATTGTTTAAAGAGAAATGATATGCACAAACTATCTTCTTCAGTTCATTCTAGTTCTGCGTGACTTCTATAGTTAAGCATAGTTGAATTTACAGTGTAGTGAGTAATGAACAAGAGACAGAATCCATCACTCCAAATGTGAAAAACCGGTGATTATGCTAAGATTATGATACAACTACAAGTCTGTTTACATTCTAATCCAAAGTGAATCTGCCACAAAATTTTCCCATTGGTATGGTCTTTTTTCTTGTTTTTCCAGGAAGAAGAGAACCAGCAGGACTCTCTCTTACTCACTGATCATCACTGATCAGAAGAACTAGGAGATAAGAAGCAAAAACACCACACATCCTTCAAGAATCGCCACGATGATGTTTAGTAGTGTCTTGCGAAGCAACAGCATCGAATGACCATAAGCAATCATCACCGGGAAATGACACAGATCATCTGAAGGATCTTCATCTGTGATGATAGCCAGGCCTGAGAAATCACAGTCCCAATCATTCTGATCTTTCAACTGATAATACATGTTGAAAGCATAAGAAGCATTGCCCTGACTAGTTAAATGGTTGCAGGAAGATCCATATCCCAAAGCAGTACAATCAGAACGGCTGCATGCATAATCCACATTTTTGGGTAAATCTTCCAAATCTTCAACCTTAGGATCCAGAATACACCATCTTCTGAGCATATATTTTACCCCTTGTACAGGAACTAGGCCTTTGTTTTCCTGGAATCCTAATAAGTCCAGTTCATATTTTGGCTTCCCATCAAACTCAAAAATTCCCCAATGCCTTTCAAAGCTACCCGGTTCGATGCTTTTAGCATCCTCATCTATAAGGCTGAACAGGTACACGTCTAAAACACCTTTCCTGGCAGGGGTTCCAACACCACTGATAGCATGTTGAACCAGGCCCTGATTAAACTTCCTTGCTTTTTCAATATTGGCATCCTTGTCGCCATCCGTTGGCCACCCGATTTCTCCAATAACAATCTTCATCTCGGGATATCCAGCCCTTTTTAATGCTGCAACCAGTGTATCAAAATTCGCGTCGAACACATTAGTGTAAACATAGTCACCATCCCTGATAGGATTGCTTGTTCCATCGAAAAAGGCGTATTCCATTGGAAAGTATCTGTTACCATAGAGACTGAGGAACGGATAAATATTCACCACAAAAGGGGCGCCATTGGAATGCAGATATTGGACAATCTGGATAGTGAGGTCTCGTAATTCAGGCCTAAAATCACCAGCAGAAGGGACTGGATTTGATTCTGGGGAGTTGTAAATGTCGGCATTGAAAGGAATCGTTGCTTTCACATCTGCTCCAAGTCCAGCACGGTTGATTGCCTCTTGAACATTTTTCAGAGCAGGCAATGTGTATGGGAGAAAGGAATTATTGTAGCTCTTCAAGAATGGCTCATTTCCAACAGCAACATATCTACAAAGGCATTAAAGTTAAGATTGATTTAGATCACAGGACTTAATCAAATTGTTAGAAACTAAATTCATGATCCAACTTCAAAATCAGCATTATCATAAACACTTTTCTTTACATCAGAAATCTCCCCATGCATATTCTGGAAAACATGATAAAAAGATAAAAAAGGGCCCTTTAGCCTTAAAGCTATACCCTTACTCCTAAACCCATAACAGACAGTGATTGCTGGAAAAGTGAAAAGAGGGGGCATCTAATTCAGAAACAACTTTGCATTCTGTCAGATTAAAGGCCAAATACTATGTCAAAAAAACTGACAAAGCTTTCCTGGAAAGACTGTAAATCATTATCCCCTTTTCTTCCTCCATCTCTCCCTTTTACCATGCAAGAGTAGAAAGTTCTGTTTTCTCACCCACAGCCCAAATGGATAAACACCCAACAGAATTTTTTCAAAAAAAAAAAAAAAAAATCAAAGAGGAAAAAAGAAGTTAACTAACTATGCGAATCAAAGGATCAACCTCATATTAACCCCTCCACTGTAGAAATAACTGGTGATGTTGGCATCAACCCAAGCAGCAGCAACCGCAGGATCCTGACTGATATCTTTCAACATGTAATTGGGAATTCCAAGCATTACTTCAATATTAGTCCCCATCAAAGCTCCCAAAATCTTTTCATCCGCTTCGAAAAGCTTCACTTTCTGGAACCCATTATCCAAAATCATCTTAACCACACTCTCCGGTGGCAGTTGGTGAGTTGCCATGGTTCCCCAGTTCACTCCCACGCTTGTACCCTCCAAAACCGCCACAAAATGGAGCAAAGCTAACAACACCAGGACATAAAATCTGACGAACCCTTTTCTTGTCTGCCCCATTTTTATGTTTTTTTAGAAGATTTGTCTTGAAATCTTGATCTCTCAAAATCAAGAAAGTTGGGATCTTTGAAAGTGAACGTCTGGGGGGAATAAAAGGGAAGAATTAACTGAAGCGAATGAAGGAACGGTTTCTTTGTCTTTTCTTGGATTATAAGAATGAGAGAGGATTAAAAAGGGTGAAGAAGAAAGCAGCAGCCACTCAATACTCTGCTTTCTGCATTAGTGAATTCCTTTGCGGAATTTAGTAGTCATTGGTTGATGAAAGGGAGAAGAAAGAAAAGGAAAAAGATTGGAACTTTGGTAAATAGTACAATAAGAAAAGTGTGTCCCTCTATAGATTCCTATCTTTATTTCAGTTATTAAAGAAATCAGAGCACATCTTTTGCACCCTTCCAAGTCTTGTCAGGTCAAAACTATAGTATAACAGAAATCTCAATTCCTGAAAAAAAAAAAAAAAAAAGCTTTGGAATTTTGTGCATTTCTGTTATAAAATACACTTGGAGTGGAATGACAGCCAGCAAAGGTAACTAGATAAGTACGTTCTTCATGCAATTAGAGAATCAGAATTCAGGCCACAAACCTGTCAAAGTCATCATTTTTTCATTGAACTCTTATCACTTCGTGATTGCGCGACCATTTATTTTTTAGATCATAGACTAAACAATCTGAATTACCCATCTCATTTAACATGACTGTCACATTTCTTTCCTAATATAATTAAACATTTAGACTTAGGTGATCCCTTCTCTGAACTCGTATCTTTACCTCTTATGGTGTTTAGATATGTGTACTGTGTAGTGTGTACATTATTACGCGAGTCAGTGATCCACATTCAATAAAATCATGTATAATATAACGAGATTATGCAAGTCAACGATCCACATTTAGTAAATTCATGAATTAACGAGATTATGACACGACAAATCGAATTGTCACCTATAACAATTATCTAAGATGATTATAGCTGCTTCTTCTTTTTCTTTTTTTTTTCTTTCTCAACTCACTCCCGTCAACTTCTTAGATTTTTGTAGGTGCCGTCGTAATAACTGAAAAGTTGGTGATGACAAAAAAAAAAGTACATGAAGCAAGTAGGAAAACCAAAACAAACAATCAATCGGGACCCGAAGAAATTTGGTGGACCTTATGGACGACTTGGTTTAGTAGAGGAAAATAGAGTAAGAGATTATTTGAGGTCTTTGGGAAAGGTATATGCATGCAGTCGTGAATATCTCAACTTTCCACCCGGAATCGACGTGGTATGAATGAGCACATGCAACTTTCATTTCATAATAAAATATGTTCATCTTTTTTTCATCAAAGTTTTCAGCTTTATTTGTTTCACCTTTTTTCCATCGTCACTCAGAAGAAAAAAATAATCAGAAAAAGCTTGGTTTTCTACAGACATGGTGGTGCAGTCCGAATAAGAGAGGATATGCATCAGCTAAAAAGGTACGATTATCCTTAAAGCTCACACGTCTTCCTTTTGTCTCTCTTTCCCATCATTTCTTTTTTTTTGGGGGGTTCGTTCTTTTCCCTTGAAGATGGGGTTTCAAGAGTCGGAAAGATTACAAAAGCAGAAAGAAACAGAGCAAAAGAATTAACAATAAGATGTGACTTCATATAATAAGAGAGCCTTACAGAAGATCTAGGGTACCAAGAGCCATGAGCTATTAACAAACAGAAAGGGCACAAAAATGGATAATCGTTATTGTAAGGAGCACAATTTGCTTCAAAATTCAGCGTCCATCTCAAGATGCCGACTAGCTGGTCACCGTAATGTAACTAAGGAAAGCGTTAGAGCCATCGTTCTCCTTTTCCTTCCAAAATAGTTGAAAAGAAGTGGCCAAAACTCTAATTTTGAAAAAAAAAAAAAAAAGGGCAATCCTAAGTGCCCACCTCAAATCATCTCAACTAACTGAAGTACATAAAAGATGGATTCAGCAGTACCTCTGCCTTCATACTTCTTTTGTCATTCCTGGCTTGTAAATGTTATTACACTCAACAACTTAACAACAATCCTGTATTTTTCCAGCATTCCTCATCTTCTGAAGATACTTCCAAAGGAACTTGACCATCCAGCTGTAATCACTTCATGGTTCAAGATTATTTAGTCACATGACGATGTTCCATTGACATTGTCATCCGCACAAATTTCCTCCGGCAATCTAAAACTTAAACAGAACATATCCTGGAGAACAGTGGAGAAAGTTAAAAAGTGAAATTACATAACCAACAGTATCTGGGAAACAGCAATAATCAAAGGGTAGTCATATTCCAGGATAATGGGTTTACCTTGTATGGAGCAACACCTCGGACCTTGTGAAAAACAGGATCTTGTATAGATGCACCCAGGGCAGACTCCGCCTTCTGTAGATGGGAAATGAATTCCCAAACACACAAACATTAGTACCTATAATGTGTATCAATGTATGTAATTTCAAATTTCCTCAGAAACATGATCGTCAAAATACAACCTTAGGAAATATGTTTACAAGCAAACTCGAGAATACTTGGAATGAATTCAACAACAACAAGTCTTTTTCCCACAATACTTGGAAAGAGTTCCAGTTAACAAAATAGAGAGATCAGGATTTTAGAAGATGAAACTTAACTGAGATTATGAAGTCCATCGTCTCACTTGATCGTTTGAAGCAGTAGCAGTGGATCAATGGCAGGGATGTCTTCCAATATCGTCTCTTTATGAGCCCTCTAAAGGCATCTGCAAAAAAAATTAGAACAGTCAATTATCCAACATCAGGAGGAAACAGTTATTCCCAGTTAATTTCAATGTCAAGAATCTAGTCATGAGCAGGGACAAATGTTGTGTTATCGTTTAGATTCAATTCCGTTAAGCAGATGTAATTACCAAGAAAATCCAGAGCAGAAGCCGGGAGATTCATAACAACATGGTCAACATGCTCCCAGGGCTTTTTATTGAATGTTTCAGAGCTTCTAATACGCTTATTTGATCCTTGTTTTGTCTTAGCACTCACATCACTAGCGATCCCAGAAGTTCCATTCTCTGCACCAAATAGCACGACAGAAGTCTGCAATCACTTTACAGAACAACTCAATTCATTTGCTGTCTCTCGCACCAAAGCTAATCTCAAGTGGAAACTCATCATACCTCCAAAAGAATTTTGAGAACGCCTCTTTGAGGTAGTTGCATGTTTATCAACCTGAGAGCAGGAACTCGTGATGGTTACAAGTTGGCTCAAACTATCCTTCGGCACTTGTTTTACTTCACCTGCAACAGAGACTTTATCAAACTCAATCACCAGGCTTTTAATGACACTAGAAGGTGCATTGATTATCAGACATACTTTTGTCGTTGGCCATCAATTGTCCATCTGCGGATGTACATTGTTCTACGGACAACTCAGATTTAGATTCTTCAAACTCCAAATTACTCGAGGGTCCAGTCATGAGTTGGGAAATAAATTTTCTAGCGTCCATATTATATGCATGAACCAAATCATCAACCTTGTTACCCCTCGCATTTATCTTCAGATATCGAATGCTATCTGGATTCAGATCATTTGCATAAACAAGGCAGCCTTTAAGGGCTGCTGGAATAGCAAACGGACCAATTCCAGCAAACATGTCACAGATGATCTCCCCTGGCCGGAATGTAGAAATCAACCTAAGATGTTCATGTTCTAATCTTGAATTCCAGTAGACCAAGCTATAATCAAGTTTGAAATTTGCTCCATGTTGCTTTACTTCAGTGACCATATCATTTTTCCCAGCAAGTACCTCAAACTTTGGCACACGGAACTCATTTGTGATGGTCCCAACTTTGTTAACAACAGTCTGGATTCGAGGATAATTTTTCTGAAAGAAAAAGAGCAGATAAAAGCTATATTAAACATAACACTCCAAAATGCGTATGTCTATTCATGAGGAGATGATCATGAACCAGTTACAAGAGGAAAAGTGAGCTTGTCAGATACAAACACGAAAAAGAATATTCAGAATTCTAGATAAAAGCCTTAAAGATTATCAAGAATTGACTCCATAGTACATAGTTGTGGTAGCAACAAGAACTTATTTCTTTGGACATGCTTTCTATTAACCAAAGCTCACTATCTTCATCTGTATTCTTCCATGTGTTTTAATAAGCTAAATCGAAGAGGAGACTATCTACATTCATACTTTACCAACGTGACGCATGGTATAGATAGTAAAGAAGATACTCTCTCGATACCATTCAAGATTAGTTGGAACAGAAACGCCATTCTCTATTTCATGAAATCTTACTAAAGAGCTGCGCTTCTGGTTTCCAAAGAAATAAAATTTCCTTTCTCACCTAATTATACTCTTGATGTTGCTCTTAAATGTCACTAAATATCACAAAACTCTAGTAGGCATCATTGATGTAGAAAATGATAAGAACATACATCATAAATGACTTTGGCAATGACGTTCTTGTAAGGAAGAAGCTCATCGCCTATATTCAAGTGAGCAATGTGACCTGCAACCATTAAACCAAGGTCAATCATCCGCTCAGGGCCAGATGCCCTAAGAGAAGAAAAAAAATAATAATAAATAAATAAATAAATAAAAATAATGGGAAGCAAGGGAGAAAATCATGGAAATGCAAGGTAACCACGTCAACAGGATACTTAACTATTGTCTCAAAAGATGAAGGTACTTCAACCCCAGAAGGCAGAATCTGCTTCAGTATGTGATCTGAACACACAAATCAGATTGTAAACCAATGGAAAAATAGGTGCTACTCATCCATGATCTATGTATTATTCATGAGTTAAACTTGCTTAAAGAAAGAAGGTGTTTTTATTAAAGCTATGATATATGCACATCATGAAGAAGTCTTTTCCACAAAGGATGAAGTAAATCTACTATACTTCGTAACCAAAGTAGCATTCCAATGCTGGCAAGGAAGAATAAAAACTGCTCCTAACTAATTTCCAAAACTATTGGATACCTGCAGTCCAGTAGGAATATCCAAGTGTGACCGAATAAGGAACTACTTCAATCTCGAATAGTGCTTTCAATTCAGCAAGCTTGTGATCAGGAATCTCAGACAAATCTGTTTCCAAATCCCCCCAAAAAAAAGAAAAAAAAAAGTGCACACGAACGCACATTAATGTAGCGAAAGAAACATAAAGAACACAAAAAACTAATTACAAACATATGATTATGCTTCTTGAAATAAACAGTATGCTCAAAGGATTCCATTGACGTAATTGTAAAAGGAATTGCAATGGTTACCTGGGTTTTGGATATTTTCGGACAAAATCACATAACGGGTTCTTTCACTGGTTGGATCTTCAGTGATGGGCTTAATGCGTGGCTTATTAAGCAAGTATCTACAACCAGGGAAATTCAGCTGAATAAATCATTATCACTGCAAATCGCAATTGTTCGTTCCAGAAGTTACGAAATCAAGCGGAAAATATTGTTATACCCGTCGAGAATTCGAGAAGCGACCTTGCAGTGCTGCCCAGGAATCCGAATTGCCCACAATTTAAATTGCACATCAAACTTGCTCTCGTCTAACGGCAACTCCATCGTCTGAAAGAAGAACAACAATGGCTAAAAGGAGGCAAGTGAAGCTGAAAAAATTTCTATTCTATCAACAAAAGGGGTTTTAACTAGGGCTTTGGAAGAGCGAAAAAGGGAAGACTGGAATCAAATTTCGGTTGGGATTCGGGAAGTTGTGGAGTAAGAGTGTGGACGGTTACTCTGGGTGGGTTAACTGAAATTGAGTCCTTTGGGCCACAGTTTGGGTTTTAGTCCAATTCTTTATAGGCTTTATTCTGTAGCTTAAAAACTGAAGATAACTTGTTTATTGAACTTCTTGTTGAAGTATTGAAGTGTTGAATACAGCATCATTGTTCTTTTTTTCTTTTTTTTACATTTCTTACTAATGATGCTTCAACTTCAATTTTGAATCTTCACTGTTCTTTAAAAAAAATAAAAAATCATTCAACATACATCAAGAGATTTCTTATACGTTAGTTAGGCACAATTCATCACGTAAAATTGTGCAGTTAAACACATTAGTTAAACTAAAAGTATTTGGTCCAAGAAAAATAGTTCACATTGAGTTTTCAAATGCAACAATTTTTATATGGAATACTACTCTGATTAGAAACCCTTGTCTCTTGCAACTGAATTTTTGCACTAAAAACATGGATGCATTATACATGAACATGTTGAATAGACAAAATTAAACCAAAACTTGTAGCAGCATATATATGTGTATAATAATCGCCAAGCAATTTTCCGCTTCTCTGTCCACTTGTGTGTATAATAATCGCCAAGCAATTTTCCGCTTCTTTGTCCACTTGTACAGAATAGAGGACTGTTTAACATTAAGGTGTCATCTTTTAAGTAAATGTGACAAAGAGGACCGCTTTGCCCAAAAACGAAATGGCCATAAGAACCAAAAACCAAAAGAGAACAAAACATCAAAAAGAAAATAAAAAATAAAAATTGATTTGACCATGTAAGATCATTCATCAGTACAAGACAGGGTTTATGAAAAGTGACATTTTGTTATTGAATTTGCATTGTGATGAATCATTCGAGGCCGGCATTTAAGTACTTTTTGATGATTGGAGCATCATCTCAATTCTCACTTCTTTTGCTTTACTTTTTTAGGTCAAATGATCATCCATTGTAAGATATTCATTTTGCTATACCAAAACATTGAAAAGAAAAATGTTCCAATTCCTATATTAATAAGAGTTTATCTATGAGGTGTAAAAACATTGAAAAGAAAAATGTTCCAATTCCTATATTAATAAGAGTTTATCTATGAGGTGTAAATTGGTCCTAAAACTAACAGCACCGCCTGAAAGGCTGCAAATCTGCAATTACTCCTCTGAAAGACTGAAACAGCAAATTAACAGAACACTAGTTATATTACTCATTCTGTACAATGGCCAGAAAGGGTAAACAGCAAATATGTACAGTACAGCAAATACATAAGGCATGTATTTCACTTCTGCAAAATTTGGTTGATTCCTCAGCAACTATGAACATATCCACATCATCTTCTCTATCGAATACTGCAGAGAACTAATTAGTAACCAGAAACCCCTGAAAACTGATGATATTCCACCTTACGGATTGATTCACGTTCGATGATTTGCATTAATTGCAGCTTATGGGCCAGAAAGGCTGCGTCTTCTTTCGAGGTACCCTTTGTTCTTTCCGCCCAAAATCAAACCTTTTTCTGATCGGACTTCGGAAATTATAGCTTTTCGGGTGATTCCCAGATCAAGATTTGTGCTTTTTTTAATCAGCTGAAACTGGGTCTGATTCAGGCCCTGAGTCTAATCACTGATTGAGTGATGATTCCAGCACAGAAGCATGGTGACGCAACGCCTGAGGATGTAAATCCTTGTTTTCTGCTGCTTCAACATGATCACACACCGCTTCCGGAATCCATTTCTCCGGTGACCCTTTCGCCGGTTGTGGTGGGACTGTGGGATTAAGTAAGAAACTCCGGTCATGATGAGGTTGAGAGACTTAAAAAAAAAAAAGATGGAGAATTGTTTGTTATTAAGAGGTGAAGAGAGAGAAGAAAGATAATGAAAATGAAAACAGGGGGCGAAGCAGAGAGAAATTTATAAGAGAAAAAGAGTGATTGATTATCAGTGTCCTATCTAACTTAGAAGTCAAATATCATTTAATAAAGTAAGGGACATAATAATTTCTTCAGAGTAAAGACAGAGATAATACATAAACCTTTCTATTTCTTGGGTTTGTTTTGATTAGGTCGAAAATTTAGGATCCTACGGATTTTACCTTTGATTTTGGTTAATTATCCAAAAAAAAAATTATTAATGATAATTATAACAGATTCCGCAATAAGATTCTAAAAGAATATATGGACTTAACAGACTTTGCAGGGGAAATGTAATGTAAACAAATGAATAAATTATTTAATGAATTACTCGAGTATAGAAGAAATGGAATTCTAATTCTTAAGTAACGTAATAGTGACATTTGTGTTACACACTCTTTAAAGTTGATCATAATAACTGAAATATGATTGAACAAGTGTCAGGTATTCAAAAATAAATAATACTAGCACACAAGATTTTTTTGTCACAAGACATGTTTCATTTGTTAGAAAAACTTCTTCCAGGTGTTTTGCTAGAAAGTAATTAAGCACAGAGATGTTCTCTGAATTGTAAGAGTAATAATACTTTGATACTTAATTTGTAAACTTGTTGGCAGTAAGCAGGTAACTTAACAGAATCTTTGTTGGTTAGGAAAGTTTCTATTGCCAACTTATTATTATTATTATTTTTTGCTTAAATATGAATATGGTTTACAGATCATTTTATAAGATTTTCATAACATTGGATAGATACTCTCTCTGGTTCTTATTATAAACCATTTTTATTTGTCGTACATTTCACCTAAAATGTCTTTTTAATTGAAATAAAAACGTTAAAAATATTTTGTGATAATTAGAAGAACACAACGAATGTGAAAATATATTTTTAACGTTTTTTTAATTAAAAATACATTCTAAGTGAAATCCTAAGACAAAATCAAAATGCCTTATAATAAGGACCAGAGGAAGTATTATTATTTACATATAGAAATTCCAAATTATAAATTTCAAAAAAGAAGTATAAAGAAGTCTTAGATCAAGAATATTAATAATGGTGAATTGTACTCTTAAAATTATGCAAATACAAGAAAAAAATAGTGAAATTACTTTGCTTTAAACTAAAAAGATGATAAAATAAAGTTTGTGTTTTTTTTTTCCGTTAAGAAAAAACGAAATGAGTAGTAGTATATGGAATATGAATAATTCTGGAAGGAAAACGGAGTAGTACTTATCGAAGAATTGCCTGCTGGAACAGTGAAAAATGAAAATGACAGGTTTTGGGGACCAATTAGACCATTGGGAAAAAGAATTAAAAATGGATAGCGATAAGTGTAGAAGAAGAGCCGTGTGGGAGACGAGTGCACCTGGTCCTCCTAGTTTATTAGTCAGAGGTATTTTTTACCCATTGGGACAGAGGAAAAGTGGTATTGCCCGCAAAACCAAAGGTAACTTTGGCTTAAGTTCGTTTTTCACCAACACTTCACACTTTCAAAGCGTAGGATGCTTTGAAAGTGAGAGCGTTTCAATCAGACTCTGAACCAAACGTGGATGGTACTTTCGTTGACAGAATGAGGGGTCTATATTTCATTCGGACGGATGGAGCCTTTCTAGAGCACATTCACCATAGTGCTGGAGCTTGGGAGATAATAGCACATCAAGAGAAATATATCGCATCAGGTATGAAAGCCTTTTATGCATCATCAGCTGAGTACGTGGAAGGGCGAGCATGCTTGTTGGGACTTCAAGCGGCGATCTACATGGGTTTTGAAGATTGTCAATTACAAACAGTAGATCACCATAAATATAATGTGTTTTCAAAAAAAAAAAAAAGAAAAAAGAAAAGCATAGGATGCTTTCTAATATCATACTAATGAGTGGAGTTAGCCTTCCCAAATAAACTCAAAACACTCCGGTCATATAATAGTTTAATTGCCTGTCATGTGTAGCGTTAAAAAAAAAACTTATATTGAGGATGTGCAATTTCATTGTTTCATTCCATTTATTTATTACTATAGTGTATGATTTATTGTAACAATTCTTACAAGTATGACACTGATTTGGGGGAAAGAAAATGTCCTCAATTAGTTGGGCTTCTGAACATCGCGAGTTAGGAAAAGGATTGAAAGTTCATATCCACTGAGTTCAAACGCTGATTCTTGATTATAAATATGCGACGCGATATAACAGTCATTTGAGATACTTGATCTCTCTGATTTTTATATTTTTATAAGCCGAAAATTTATCAATCCATCCATGAGATTATTGGGATTTAAAAACAAAAAGTGTATGTTCGATCACACCGGGAAAAGAAAAAGAAAAAAACAAAAGGTGAAAGTATCAAGTTTCGAACCTTCTTGTCACGGTGCACTTACCATCATCATGGTACTGTGCCAGCCTCCTCTCCAGAAGCCCCCCCATATTGATGACTCGATGGATTGACCAATAAGCTGACGTGTTTTCGACCACGTTTTCCTTACAAAAATTCCGAGGAAGGAGGGCCGCCATTGCAAATTCTACCGAACCTCATTTCATTCATGAAGGCTTATTACAAGTTACAACCCCACTTAGGCGGACTTTTGCCCGACATGTGCATATGTTTTTCTCTTTTTCCCCAAATAAAACCACCTTATCTACAAAATTTCTTTAAATTCTTTAACGTCCTAGTAACTTTTAAAAATACTACAAATTTCCGAATTTTTTCATGTGCTTTGAGTGCTTCTCCTCTTGCATTTTATGATTATCATATGATGTCTGTTAAAATTTGATTGTGACTATCCCTAACGGTGATTAGTGACACTAATAAATAGCCAAACACATTTATTATTTATACCATTTTGTATTATGCATTAAGTTGTACGCGACATCTATAATATTCCTTGAGTATATCTACAGAATGATATATGGTCGTTGGAAACTTGGACTTGCGTCATGTGAGAACAAGAATAAATGTCCCTTAGCCTGTTTGATTAAAGTGGTGACGAGTTTTTTTTAGACGCAAAATCAAACTAAAAATGTATCGTTTAAATTTGCAATTAAACGTTCCCAAGAGGAACTATATGCAATTCCCTTGGCATCAAGTCCGAGCTAATTAGCTGCATAGAGAGAAATTAAAGACTCACAAAGCCACAAGTTTCATAGATAGAATATTACAGAAATGGTTTTTTTTTTTTTTTTGGACTTAGTATAAGTACATATTTTATGAATAAATTTAATTAATTACTTATGATAAAATTACCCAATAATTTAATCATTCTTCTTCTATCCTGAACTCTTCGGTTTCAAATTTAGAAATTTTTGCCTAGACATCAAATCAACAAGGGCCTTTCCTATCCACTGTGACGTGGAAGAGGTTTCCATATTCGCCGTATATTCTTCGTCGTGTGTGTAGATTTTGCTTTATATGTGGGAAAGATAGATAGATATATGTCTCCATCCAGCATCTGATGGTGTAAGAAAAACACAGAGGCTACTTTATAATCTGATTTTGCTGCTATTAAGATTTTAACTTTTATAAGCATGTCTTAATCAGTGATAGAGACAGTATGTTTTATTTGGCTGCCATTTCTCCCCTCCCATATATAAATGGACGCCCGCTAAAACAAATTTTCCAAATGCTGACTAACATTTCATTGGCTTATCTCGCAAATTCATTGTATCATTGTCACATTATTGTGCTATTTTAGTCAAGAAACCGTATATTAAATGTTGAATTACGTTTTACGACTTTTAACAAAATAGAATTTCAGAGTTGAAAAGGTAGTGGAGCACACGTTGTCCATTTACTGGCTTCATTCTAGAAATTTTTAATTCCAATCCTTCTAGAAATGGGTTTTCCTGGAGTTGGAAATGGTATGTTGGAGTTACAACATTAATCAATTCTTTTTTTTTTTTTTTTGGAAGATTCTCAGCTCATGATCTCCATTTTCAGTCCATTTTCCGTTACAATTTCAAATTTTCATTTTTTTGTTTATTCATTTTTGTGTCATTTGCAAATTTTAGCTTGCACTTACAAATTTTAGTACATGCTCAAAACTAAAATTGTAACCAGTATATTTACTTTAGCCTTTAAGCTATGAGCAGTTATCTGATATTGTTGCCCACCTTCGAGAAATACACCAGTACAAAGTTACCAAGACAAGGGCGTAGCGCATCTAATTCTATGAGTTTCTGATAAAAGTGCTGTGGGAGTTTCTTTTTTCACCATGATCCATGTTACAGTGATTTTATATATATATATATATATATATAGAGAGAGAGAGAGAGAGAGAGAGAGAGAGAGAGAGAGAGAGAGAGAGAGAGAGATAGTATAGTTCATCGGAAAGTAAGACCACCGATCTCATTTATACATCCACAATAGTCAAAACAGGAGGATACCTACATCTTCAGGTGGTAATATTTGTCCAGAAGCTTCTCCGTGTACTCTCCAAAAGTAAGAGTTCCGTTGGATGGAATCAACTGGATATTAAATGGAAAAAACAAGTCAAGGTACCCTCATGAAGCATCGACTTATGGTTATGGTCATGCATAGAAGCAGATAAATGATTGTGAGTTTGTGACAGTTTTTGAATGCATTATAATTGAAAAAGGAATACCTCTTGATGAACGTGTACCACATCCGGAAACTTAAGCTTTTCATCCCTGAAAAAACAATCACAGAAAGTGTATTAGGTAGGGACTTAGGTTGACAGGTCATGCTGCAAAATAAGGTTTGGAGGCTAAATGAATGTTAGAGCATTCAGCACAATGAGAATACGGAACATAGACAGAAAAGATTACAGTCATAACTACAATGTTAGCACTGATATCAAACATTGTTTCTGTATGCCTTCTAATTCAGCACTATGCGGTCGTCATCGACATCCAGCCTTACATTGCACTTCCAAAATTATCTCAACTCCATTATAAGCACTTAAATTCCAGAGGACAAATCGACTGAGATATATTTTACAATAATATTGCTATTAGTAAGCAATGTGTTCTGACATTTGATCATCTAAGATGACAAGGTTATCACCGAGTTCATGTTACCTTCAACATCAAACCATTATGCCATTATGTCACCCCTTCACTCTTATGCAGTCTATATAATCCCAGTTACTCTGTAGATGTTTGTAGAGCTCATAAGAGTATAAATGTTCTATTTATGTTGCAAAAGTTTTTGTCCACTAGGAACAAGGACCAAAGATTGTGCGCAGGTTACTCAGGTGATTTTTTTGAGTCAACGTTCGTAAAGACTCTTTGGCCTGTGGAATGCATATCTGAATTTGAATGTCAAAGCAACACCTAATCATTTCCTAGCAGTAAAACATCCGGTGTCGAAAAAAGTAACTCTTCTGGACTATTGCTAACAATCCCAAAATATCATATGTAGAAGAACAATAACTAAAAGTACCACACAATGCAAATGTGCAGGATAGGTACTATAAAGTAGAACCATACCAATCAGGTTGCATGAAAAAGGCAAAGGTAGAACGATCAACGCCAAATGCAGCTTCCGATGTGGGTGCCTATTAGAATTAGTATGAGGTCTTCAGATGTGAAGGAACAGAGGAGCACAGCCACAGAGTAATATGATTGAGAAAGTAAACATGATAAGTGAACACTCACTTGCATTTGGCATCAATTTCAAAGATTTAAAAAAGAGGGAAAGAAGGTACACTGTTTTTTTAACAAAATGCAGAAAGAGTAGAACCCAATTAAAGAGGTGTATCGCTGCCAAAACATTTGAATAAAAAGATAGAGGACATACCCGAACACAATGCGGTGTTGCGCAAAGCCTACCTCTTGACAGTATCTCTGTAGTTTCACCTATTTGGTATCCAATTTCATCCTCCCCGTACACCACCTAATATGATAAGAATTTACATGGTTCAGACGAGCATACCAACATATATACTCCATGAAAGGCACTCAGAAGCCATTTTACTTGGAGGGGGTGCGGGGGCAAGATTAATTCAAAGCATGTACAGAAGACCAACCAACATAAATCGGAAACAGATGCTTATGAATGAACATGGGGCCCTAAATCTCAAAGATCCTCAAATATTTACCTGGATTGGAAGCAGAAAGCCACAATCAGGAAATTGAGTAAGGCAAAATAATTAAACCTACACCAACCATAACTTAACTATCAGGGAGACCACTTGTATACTCAGCCTTAGTTATTTTCATTTACACAGCTGAAAAACTATTATCATTGACAATCTGTCAGCTAAAGTGGGCAGCTAAAATTGGACATCTACAACTCCCCTAAGGCTTATGGCATCCATATAAATCAACCATTAAACACTTTCTGAGTAATGACATGTTGTATGCTGCCAAATGCAATGAAAAGAATACAGATAGATAAGACTCAAAATTCTTTCACAGCACTTGGCCACATATGCTTTTAATTAATGATGACAATATGCTCCAAAACAAAGTAACTATGATGCATCCCTTCCAGATGTGCAACATACATAAGCAATTGGATATGTAAAATAGGCATATGTATGTAGTGATGTTGAGCATGTGACAATTACTTTTACAATTTTGCCACTACGCGATTTTACATAAAGACCAGCTGCATCATCAGGGCAAGATATTTCAATGTTGTTCCTTGTAAACATGGCACGCGTTAGACCTGCATCAACAATCAAAGAAAAGTCAGGCACCAAAAGATAAGATCAAATGAGGCAAAAGGAATGGCATTCAGCAATGGATGTAAATAAAAGTTCTGGAAGTAAGGTGGACAAAACAGAACAATACGTAAAAACTCGGTGACAAAAGGCTTGTGTTTTGAACATTTATCAAATGCGAAGAGAAGAACCCCTATTAAACCTGTTTATTAAGTAAATCTTGAAGTTTCCTAAATGCTCCTGTTGTTGTGTTAATCAATGTCTTGTAACAATTTTAGGAGTATCATGCAATCAGGGAATTTTAGGAGCACTAAGAACCTTCACTTCTGAGGACAGAACAAGGAGAGAATGCAGTGTGATAGCTGCTGCCTCTCATTAGAATATTTCTTATTAGATCTTTTATTTCTTTGTTGAGTGCAGTATATAAAGTTCTCAGACTGCACCTTTGATTTCTTGAGTAGAAGAGAACACATTTTATTTATCATGTCTAGAATAACATAAGTTTCAAGCTAACCGCAACGGTTCTGGAAGTTAGTAAACTAACCTGTGAGAGATCCATGATCGGTATGCCAACCACACCAAGATGACATGGATTCACCATCCTGGAGGTAAATACTGCAAAGTTATAAAATTGTGGTCAACAGAAACTCATTGCGCTGCAGACTACAACAGGTATATTGGAATGCAAATTAAAAGAATATTCAAAATTTTCTCCAGCCCAGAAAAGCAATAAAAAAAATTCGTCAAAAATAGATGTTGACAGAGTCTATGTTGGTTGGTCAGCATTTGATTGAATGCTTCTGAATTCTCAGGATTTAAATGGGAAACAAGCTTATTCAGGCTCCAATATCAAACCAACCATATTGAGTATGGACCCAAATACACATAGCATGATGTTATGAAACAGACTGTAAACTAGGGGAACTGAAAGGGAAAGGGAGACACTAACCTCTGCCTGGTTGGAAAATAATAAAGAAGACGACCTTTATGACATCTTGAGCTTTCCAGTATTTGCTCAAGGCCTTTGTCCTCGGATGTTTTCATCTCTCTAAATGCTGCAAATTGATGGATAATGATGAGCAACCAATTAAAAACTAACTTTTCACCTTGGTATAATCTATCAAAGAGTCTGGTTAGCAAATTCTAGTCCTCGATTTAGTCAAAATGGTGGTTAGGATTCATCTCAACTCTAGGTTCATATTACCCACCCCATAATTGATTAAAAGTTAAATGAAGTTAAAGAAACAATATGCATAACAATGTAAAGAGCGAATGCATGCACCGGAAGATGTATATTTTAAGGAAATAATCAATTAATCATAACATATAATCATTTTGAACCAGCATATTCAAATAGTGTAAACCAAAGATCAGAGTTTCATGTTAGGATAAAGTTGGTATTCAAACAGATAATATAAAAAGAAGACTTTACTTACCAAAGCGATCACAGTGATAAGCCAACAACATCCCGACATCAAGGATAAGCTTCCCAAGAGCTTTGAAAGCTACAAATAGAGTACATTTTGCATAATCATAAGAAAATAGTTACTCGGGTAAGTCATAGATCCATGGCAAATTGGAATTCAAGTAGTGTTCAGGACTCCAGTTTTGTTTAATGAAAGAAATCACATTCCATTAAACCCACAACCCACCAACAGCATTGGGTATGCATGACTTCCGTCAAGAATATGCTCGTAGATTTTGAATAGGGTATGTAGTCTTTCAGGAATAAGTCTTCTAACGGACAATGAATAAAGGACTCTTCATTAATCCAAAGATATGATTTCAAACTCCTAAGTTTTAAGTAATCACTGACAACAGCACCTCAAACTTGAAAAATCAAAACTTTCATGAATACCGAGTCAATACTTCTTACGACATTCATGCTGTTAATCACAAAGCAATATCATCCTTTCCGAAGCTTCTTGACAAGTATACATTCAGTTACCAGTTAAAATTCAAATAAATACAAAGATAACAATTTAAGCTAAAATAACTATGTATTCATATGCTAAGGGTTAAAAATGAAGTAAAATGCACAGATGACAGTTTAAACTAAAATGCCATCGACATGCACATTACGGAATGTCAAGCACCTCCTTCAAGCTCTGGGAGGGTACTGCAGGGCCAAATATTTGATCCACAGTAGGAAGGGTACCTGTCAAGATGGTACCCAAAGTTTAGAAAGATACATTTGTAGGTCCTTCTCACAGAATGAATAGGACAAGCAAAGCACCAAAGGAATTTTCACAGAAAAGCCTACATGCATCAGTACTCTTTACAGTTTTACTAATAGAAAAGCAAGGCATGAAGAGATTTTCTAAGAAAATCTTTCGATGAGCTCGTTTACAGAAACCAGTAATATGTTGGGAAAACATAATTGCATCTGTAGCCCATGGCCAATCATACCGCTGAATAAGAGCTGGATCAGTTGTAGGTGTATCCAATATTGGATTTGCATAAAATGACCCTTTCATTGTATCTGCATTGGAATTTGAGCAACAAAAGGTGAAACATGTAAAGTGAAAAGGAAGCAGTTCCAAAATCCACAAAGCATTTTGTTTCCAAATATTTATGATAACAATCTGATTAATTCTTTAGCAACTTCAACCTACCTAAGACTCTTGTATAGATTCATTCAGACCACAAAATGCATTCTACATCACTATTGACTATACCCAGGTATACTTGATAATACATCTTTCTGTAAGAGAGCTTTACCTGGCTTTCCAGATTCAAGCTTCTCTTTTCCATGGCTCCACCCAAAGTTGTATCTACATGCTCCCGGAAAAGTTTAAACAGATTTATATCAGCACATGGAGTGCAGAAAAATATAATTTTCATGGAGCTTCATTAGGAGAAAACAAATTAAATAAGATGACCAATATTAGGGAAGTGAAATTCAGAAGTACAGTGTAATACTAATACTCTTCTTATCAAGCCATTGTAGTATTAAGAGTATGCATGTAATACCTACTATCAGGGTCTTCCAGTTCCCTCTTCACGTCCTCAGGTAGACTTGCTAATCTGATAGAGAGACTTTAGAAGTTCAACATGTCTGCTTATTTTGCTAACTAATGTTTGTTCAAGTACAATGCAAAAACTTCACAATCAATCTTGTACCGAGGTGAAAGATGAAGAAGATTATGACGCAATGTTGAATACCCAGGAACCTATATGGAAATCAGCGAGATTCAGTTGTGGCAAATAACAGATGGAAAAATTAGTTCATCCGGTGCAAAACAAACAAGAAAACGAAAAGAACAAAAAAAAAAAAGATTCAAAACATTGCTTATCAATATGTAAAAAATTACAGTGACCAAATTATGCTGGTTGACAATGGAAACTACCCATATTTTATAGGGAATAGAAGATGAAATCCCTTTGCACAAGAATAGAAAAAGAAAATCATCATAAAGCTTCACTTTTGCGGCAGCTTCAAGCTAAAGAAAGAAGGAACCATCTCATTACCTCATCATCTACAACATGCTCGAAAAAATTAACCATAGACGGCATGCCCTTTTTTGACCAAGCAATGTGACCGATGAATTCAGTTAAGCAAATTTCAGGTCTTAAAGCCTAAGGCATGTTACATTTCCATCATTTACAAGATAACATAGAATTAAGTAATTCTATCTGCAAATAATATCTACGCCCTCTATGTCCCAAAAATGATTGTCCAGTTTGGAATTTCATTTTGCGCACAAATTATATCAAAAATGAAAATCTAAACTGGAGGGAGTACAATGTAAAATTGATCAATTAATGAAAGATATAGCATATGCAGACAGTTAAAATATAATGTAACAACCAGTTAGGCTAAAGGCAGTAAAGGAAATACACTGCGTAAAAATTTTAATTTCATACATCTGAGATTGACAGAATCCCCAGACCATTTGGCCCAAAACCTTCCTCAATCTTCGCTGTCAAATCTGCACTTCTATCCTGTCTCAGCAAAGACATTAAAAAAGCACTCATCAGCACTAGAATATTCATGCTTCTCTGTGCGCTACAAAAATAAATAAATTATTATTGAAAAAAAAAGTGATTCCTCTATTCATATTCAAATACCTACTCAATGAATCATAATGACACTTCATGTTATAGAGTATCTTATGCATATATAAAATTGTAGAGAGTGTTGAAATAATACAAACGCGCAACGGAACCGGAATGATTCCGGTGAAAACAAAGGTCCACAATGACATACAGACACTTTCTGCGCGCGGTTAAAGTATTATATCACATAACAAGTTCTCTTTGAATTGTTCCCCTAATACACGTCGGAAAAAGAAGTAAAGAACCGGACGAAGAAATTGAACTGACCTTAAGTTGCGTGTAAGAAATTGAAACCGTTCGAACGACGGGATGATCAGGTTGAGAAGAGCAAGACATTGATATCGGAGCAAGACGGCGGTGGGAAGGCGGCGAAGGTGACGGCGACACCGAGGGGAACCGCTGTGAGAGGGATTGCGAGAAAGAGCTCATTCCTTATAGGCGATGATTTACACAATTTTGTATAGTTTTTGGTTGGCCAATTTGGGGGGGATGGAGACGCTATCAAGGTTGCGTGAATGAAGCATTAAAAATTACATTAAAAATGGGAGATTTCCTGCCGAATTGAGTTTGAAATATAGGAATGAGTTCATTCGGTTTTATTCTCTGCTTTGACTCTTGTTTTATAGTGCGCGACTTGGGCGGGTTCTAGGACTCTCACTCTTGAGCAAATCTTCTTCTACTAAATAAAGAATTTTCAAATCCAGAAAATAAAAAGTTGATTAAAAATTTAAAAAACACTCTTCTGTCCCTAAATAACTTGTACTAAAAATTTTAAAAATCTGAAAATGGAAATATTTCTTTTGGTAATGTGGCCTGCCAATATCCTACGGGTCCAATCAATTTGAAAGGATATGTCAATGATGTTATAGAAATAACAATTAAAATTCAATTTATATTTAAAAAACTAATCATTCCATCAAATTAATGTCGTAAAAAAAATATAGCAAAATTCATAACCGCCCAACTGTCTAACATGTTTAATCCATCTGAAAAAAGAAAAAATCTTCCATACAGCTGTTGTAACACGTAGGATTGTGCATGCAGACACATGAATAGGTTAAGATTGTAATTTTACCGGGAAAGTTACCACAAAATTAGGGAGCCATGATATTTTTCAATATAATGAGTGTGTTGCTGCACTAAAAAAGAGATAAATTTGCTTGTTGTATGGAATAATATTTCCTGAAAAAATATGCCAAATAACCCTCAAATCTAATTAACGTGATGCAACAAATTTTAAGAAGTCTCACCACATTTTGCGTATGGAAACTCCATATAAATGCAAAATGAAACTAGACAGGGAAAGAAAAGAAAAAAGAAGAGTTTGATTTTGATTATATAACAACCCATGTAAAAGAAAGCACGTGCGACGCGCGAGCGAATTTCCCACATCAACGACCGTTGATGAAGAAAGTCAACAACCCAGCCAGGGACAACGGCATCACATCATCTTCAGTTCTTCACCATGAATGCTAACTGTTTCAGAATGCGCAATTTCCATCATCTCTCTTACGTCTCCATCGATTCCATCTTCACTACTGCGAATCCAAAGAGGACAAAACTCCCATTTCGCCCACCAATTTCGGTTCACCTACGTCATCGTTTTAGCTCACTCTCCGTGTCGTCTGGTAGCATAAGTGGGGGCAATTCATCTGGGTTTACTTGGGATGATTTTCTTCGAGCCGGTGAATTGGGCCATGATGGTTCTTCTAACCTTCAAGGATTCTTCGATAAAGTTAAACTCATCAATCGTAATTCTGTAATTGCCCAACTCAATTTTTTAAACTTCTTTTTTATTTATATCAAGGTATAATTCATTCATTGCCAAATGGCTCACGATCCAATTTTGCAGGAAAAGCAGAATGAGTTTATTCCCTTTGTTATTGAGGGTCAGATAGTTGGCTATGTACATTATGGGTAAGTTTTAGTTTCTAATTTGTGTATTCTGGGCTTGATTTTACTCTCAGCTTTTTGTCCTCGGGTCGAGTCTTTTGGTAACTGGAATGATTGTTGGCAATACAATGGCTTCGAGATAATATACTATAGAGAACTCAACTTTTTAGCTGCAAAATCAATTGAAGCAGAAAATTGCTTATTACTTCTATTAAATAGTTCACATTCGTTGTTATATAGGTTTGCAGATCATTTGAGGAAGTTTAGGGATGTATTCATCTTTCCAAAAGATGACACTTTTGGCGGCAATTTCGGATGCCATGTCACACTGCATTCTATGCTGAGGACTGCTGAGGAGAGGACAAGAGCTGTTGCTCATGTTGTTAAAAGCTTGGGAGAGCTGATTCCAGGTATAAGAAATGAGGTACTTTTAATCACTGGATGGTGCCTTTACCTTCTCTCCATTTCTACGTCAATGGTCATGTGTCAATGGTCTCGTGGTAGTTTCTTTTTTTATTTATTTTTTATTTCTTTTTATGTTTTATTTTTGCTTCTTTGTCATTTTACAATCATAATTCAATGAGCATCCCTTCTTTTACTGGCAATAGTTGTAAGTTTCCTTTCCAATCTTTTGATTCTGTTGATTTCGAGCAGCTGTATCCTGTCGCGTCATCATATGGTTCACCAATATTTTTCTCGGTCGAAAGAGCTGCAGCACCTTACTTTGGTACAAAGGTATCCATGTCCTTCTCACTACACATTGCTTTCGTTTCCTATGTAGTTTAAAGTTTTCACTTTTCATGTTTGTTGTAGACGGACACCAATATATGATTCGTGTTGCATATGTTGGTCTGATATACTGAACTCTTCTGACTATATCATTCCATGATCTTGCCTCAAGTTTCGTTGCTGATTTGTTATATAGCTTATTGATCTCCCTTTCCTTTCCTGTTCTGTTCTTTGGAATCCTAAAATCAGGCTTATGGAGTTCACATGAATGGATATGTTGAGAAAGATGGGCAGAAATATCTTTGGGTGGGGAAGAGAAGTGAATCAAAACAGACCTACCCGGGGATGCTTGATCATCTAGTTGCTGGTGGGCTGGTAATTATTGCACTTTGGTCTAACGCATACACTTCTCTTCTTTTATCCTTCCTGAACTTGTGAGAATGTTGCTATCTTTGGCTCGGAGTTTATTTATTTTCCTTTATATTTTAAGTGTAGCTCTGGTTCCTTGCTACAAGGATTCTCCTGCAGAATAAAGCTGATGTTTAGCTCCAAAGGATGGTGTTTATATTGATAGATTAGTAACTACTTAAGTGATGAAAAATAATATTCTTCTTCGAAATGGTGCTGTAGCAATCTCTTTTTTGGTATACAATCCGGAATTATTTTTCTTGACCCATTTCCTACCCTCTGCAATTGAACTCTTAATATTAGATCTTCTCTGATTGCTTGTATGTTTGCTCCAGTATGCTTGGAATTTTGTCATATATTGGTTTAACATTACATAGTTGCCTGCAGCCACATGATATCTCTTGTGAAAAGAATCTTGTGAAGGAATGTGAAGAGGAAGCAGGAATACCAAGCTCCATCTCCTGCAAGTAAGTTTGGAACTTTGGGTCTAGCTATTTAGGTGCTACGGGACACTTTTTCCCTCTCTCTCTCTCTCTCTCTCTCTCTCTCTCTCTTATAATTATCGATTTTTATCGATTTTTACGTAATGAAATATGCTTCCATGACGCAGAGCAATCCCTGTTGGAGCTGTGTCCTACATGGACATTGAAGGATATAGGTTCAAGAGAGATGTGCTATTTTGTTATGATCTAAAGCTTCCTGAAGATTTTGTTCCCAATAATGAAGGTGACCTTGATCACTTTCAGAAATCAAAGAAATAAGACAATGCACGAGATTGAGTCATAACTTGCCAGTTTACTTAGCTGCCAAGTCTTAGTATACATCTGCATCAATTGTGTGACATCTTAGCTTAGAGTCCTTAACTTCTTATTTGTATTAGAAAAACTTTTCACGTGTGAACTTATTTGATTCAACAGATGGCGAAGTGGAGAGCTTTAAGTTGGTTCCCATCACACAGATTGCTAATGTAATTAGGAGCACAGAATTCTTTAAAGCGAACTGCAACCTTGTTATCATTGACTTCCTTTTCCGGCACGGGTACAAACTACTTCCTCTATTTAGTTTTTTCTTTTACTCAAGTTTTGAGTTCTGTTTTCTGTATCTGTTGTACGTACTTGTAAACAACTCTAATGGCCATCTGAACTCAAGTATGAAATTGCCAAAGTCGAAAGCGAATATATCATAATTATGCTGTAACATGCAGTGTTTTACTGTCTCAACTTGAACAAAGTTTTCAATGTCCTTTCTTGCAACATGCTCGTCATCACTACTTTTAAAAAAGTTGCATTGAGAAAACAAGTCACCCCAAGGTAACACTGCATGTTTAACCTCGAAAGAGCTGGGAACTAGTTCAATCTGAAAGTTTATTTGCAAAAATGAACCTTGAACTTCTTTCAGGTACATTAAGCCGGAAAGTTTTGGATATTTGAAGCTATTGCAGAGTCTGAGAAGTGGAGACTGCTCCTGAATGTAATTTCTGTTAGCATCCTTCCTTTCAGTTTCAGCCTATTGGCTGCCGGCAGGCTGCCTTTAAGGAGTAACCTGCAATAAACAGCGCTAATCAAATGGAAGGATGGTTAACCGAAACAAAGCATACAAGACACTGTTGCTAAGCTTTCAAATTTGCTTTTATCTTGTTATATTTGGCTACTTTTTGAGCATTTAGTTAGTCCTAAATGCAAGTATTACACGTGCTTTTATCATTAAAATTTTGAACATTATTCTTGAATTGTCCATATTGGAATTGAAATCATGAATTTTTGTTGAGTAAAAGTTGTTTATAACTGTCAAATCATAAATCAGAACCCTACTCTTCTTTTTTTAAGAGGTGTGTTAGATAGAGGCAAAGCCTAGCGTTACAATGTAACGTCTGCTTATAACATCAATATGAAGGCTTGAGGCTTAAACTAGTGTAATTAGTTCTCACCGGTTAAGGCTTAACGATTGTCTCATCGGCATGTCCTTTTGCGACAACCCTGATTGTCTCCGATTGTCTCCGTTTTGAGATTGAAGATCAAGACCAAATGTTGTTGTGTTACAACTTATATGCAGGACAATGATTCTCTCTTATAGCATCTCCAACCAAAACACTAAATTTGGTATTTTGATGTAAAGTTTTGCACTCCAACGAACACACTAAATCATTACACTATTTTGCTGCAATGAATAGTGTTACTCTAAATTTGATGTAAATTGTCAATTACACTAGTTTTAGTGCACTATCTTTTTACTTAGATCTAAAGATATATTTGCTATGCAATTATACTTGTAAAATAAATTATGTTATAAATATTATATCATATTAAATATTTTATTGAGATCTTCGAAATAAGATCCATATTGAATATAAATTATTTTTTTTAAAAAAAATATATTTTTAGTTATTATCAAAATTGAGTATGAAAAATAAATAAAAAATTTTTGATACTTCTGCAATCAAATAAAAAACGTTATAAGGAACAAATTTCATAAAATTATCACCAAATTACATAATTTTAATTAACTACAAAAATAAAATTTAAACTAAAACATTTAATAGGTAGACATTTTAGTGCACTAAGATTGGAGTGTAAAGAATTTTGGTATAAAAAGATACTTAGAATATTCCATTTGTGCACTAAATTTGGTGTAAATTAGAGTGTAATAGTTGGAGATGCTCTTATAAAGGAAAAATAAAGAAGACATTGTCCTTTCCAATTCTTCTCAAATTATGACACATTTCTGCTTTCCTGAAAAAGTCAATTTTGTTTCATGAGTGGTTCATTTCTCTGGTCTCTAATCCAATCAATAAATATTCGCTCCTTGAGCTTTCAAATACATTTAAGGGCCTCTACTAAAATGTTTTACTCACATTGAAAGAATTTTGTCCGAAATTGTGTACGGCTATACAATTTTCTCTTTCGACTGGAACATTTTCCAATTTCCATAGACAATTTTGTTCTTTTTCAAATTTTATCATTAAAAAAAAAAAATTGCAGCTGATTCTCCACGAACAACATGTGAGTGTGACACTCAAATTAATTTACGCTAATTATTTTATTTATTATTTTTTTCAATCGTCGTGGGAAATAATCCTAGCGTGGTTGGTGTGTAGAATTTTCTTGATCTGGGAATCTAATTCCATTAAGAACTGGATGGATGTTTATGAGTTTAAAAAATAGGGTTCTTATCTTTTTTTTTTTTTAAGTACTACATCCTTAAGGGGGCATCCTGCTCAAACCAATCAATTATGAATGGGATTTTATTAAGTATTGATGGTGGTTAATTGCTTAGTTAATAGATGTGGGAAAATTACTACTGTCACTCTAGCTAGCTAACAACTTTGTACGTGTTAGGGAGAGATTTCTCGGGAGGAGGGGGTGTGACAACAACAACTTGCATGTAGTCCCTCCTCCCCGCAAAAAAAGCCACTTTCTTAAACCAAAATAGGAAAAGAAAATGAATTACGTACTCTGGTTCGGATCGAATATATCAGTGTAGACTGTTATAAATAGCCCTTACCTTTCTTCATCAGGATCCATCTCAAGACTATTTCTTGTTTCCAATATCGCCTCTTACAATTCCCTCTTTTGTTAAGCATTTCGTTTACAAACTCATTCCCAAAGAAAAAAAGAAAAAAAAGGAAAGCAATTAATGGGTCAGGTTGGGGGGGAAGTAGTGGTGCTGATGGATGTTAACGTGAGCATGTTTGGGATGAGGGCTAGGATAGCCCTGGCTGAAAAACAAGTAGAGTACGAATACAGTGAACAAGACCTCGGCAACAAAAGCTCACTTCTTCTTGAAATGAATCCCATTCACAAGAAAATCCCTATTCTGATTCACAACGGCAAGCCCGTCTGTGAGTCCCAAATAATCGTTCAGTACATAGATGAAGTTTGGCATGATAAGAATCCCTTGTTGCCTTCTGATCCTTACCAGAAATCCCAAGCTAGATTCTGGTTTGACCTCATTGACAAAAAGGTATAAGAGTGACTCATTAATCTTCTCATTCTTGTTCTATCATGTTTTGGTGCATATTAGGACTGTTATCTTATTTTGTACTCCTTTCATCTTAGAAAAAGTATAATATACTACATTGCAAGTATTTGCACTGTTTTTAGTACGATTCATTAATTATATTATATTGTGGACTAATTTTTTTTGAGACCGATAGAGTATTTCATATATTTCAACTTAATGTCAATATTGTGAAAATATAAAACGATATTTTGAAAATCGAGCCAGAATGTTTGAATGTTTGTCTACTAATGTATACTATTGGTGCAGGCATTTAATCATGGAAGTAAGCTCTGGGAAACAAAGGGAGAAGAGCTAGAGAAAGCCAAGAAGGAATTTATAGAATTCTATAAAACCTTAGAAGGAGAACTTGGAGATAAGCCTTACTTTGGAGGGGAAAATTTTGGATTTGTGGATGTGGGTTTGATTCCTTACTACAGTTGGTTTTATGCCTATGAAACATTGGGAAACTTCAAAGTTGAAGGAGAGTGTCCGAAGCTTGTGGCATGGGCCAAAAGATGCATGGAAAGAGAGAGTGTTTCCAAGTCACTTGCTGATCCTCAGGAGGTTTATGAGTTTGTTCTGCGCAAGTTTGTGGGATCCAAATAAGGTTTAAGACATCATATATATGATCATTTCTAAGTGGGATCCAGTTCTTTGTAATTTTTTATTTTTATTTTATTTTATTTTTTTTTTGAGTTCGATCAATGGATGTTTTAGTATTTTGTTTGGCTTGATAGATTCAATTGCTTAATTTGTGTGTTTTTGGATATCATGGTCTAGTTAGTAGTAAACCCTTATTGTTACTGCAGCTAGCTAGGCTAGGATACCTTGATTGTCTGTGTGTTATTGTAGTTGGAATGAAACTCATGGATTGAAGGTTGTGTTTTCTTATATCTTTATTGATTTATGATTTGACGTGTACATGTTATTTTATATTCTCTCGATCTCAAAATAATAGTAAAATTTAGATATTTATTTTTAGTACAATTCATTTTAAACAAAGTTTTTTTTTTGCAATTCTTCACGGCACAACATAATCGTGGGATCGAAAAGGCAAACGATAATGTGGTATTTTACAAATTCTTTGGAATTTTTCATGCATGGCTTTTGTGATAGAAAAATCGGTGTTACCGTTGCGTACTTAAGTAACAACTAATTTTTGGTACTCCTTCCCTTATAAGATAGATCAAGCTACCAAATCATTTAATGCCAAGAAACTCTGAGTTAATTAAGAATCAGTGCGAGGGAGAGAGTCTCCGCTCACAATTAGCAACACACGGAATATATTCATATATAAAAAGATTATTGTACGGAATTGTTTTTGTGATGGAGAGATTATGAAATAAATATTATTGAATGGACACATGTCACACTGAGATTAATTTTCATTTTTCACCTGACCGTGTGATTAACATTCAGACTATCATTTTTTTTAATTACTAGGAAAATACATATTTGCTAACTTAATTCTAAATAAAGTAGAAAATTCCTCACTAATATTCAATATCTAATAAGCCATAGAAAAATGGTTGACATTTAATCTTTCTTAGACTCAATAATCTTTACTTGGAAGATTAAATTGTATCTTCTTTTGTCGAGAAAGTTCTCCCAAACAATTATTAGTTGAGTTCTTCTTAAGTTGAAAAACAGTGAAAAGGAAAGAAAGAAATTAAGAAAACGATCGACTGGAGTAGCTAGTTCCTTTAACTTCTAATTTATACCCTTGATTGAATATCCTCCAAGAGAGGATCAGTATTACGTAGTCACATTGCTATCTTAGAGAAGTTACCATTAGCATGCATGGATCAACTTAAAACTATAAGTGTACGTCCAGTTTTACCTTCGAAGCTTTTACTAATCGAATTATATAAATCTAAGACTAACATTTAGTGAATTGAAAGAGTTTTAACGCGCAAAATGAACTTACTAAGTTTCGAAGTAAAATAGTTAGAATGTAAGACGTATTCAGTCAAAACTTTTTATTCATGTACGAAACTCAATAAAACTAACGCGGAAATATTAAAAATAAAACTATGAAATGTAAAAATTATGCATGAAGGGCTGTAGGCTAACGGTTGTTCGAAATATACTTTTTTATAGAGTGATTTGAGATTAATTAATTTGAACATGCAACACTGCTCTAAGCGCCGTCACCGTCGGCACAATCAAGTGAGGTATTGGGAGGAAATGGTTTATTCTGATGATCAGGAAATTGTTTAACAACGCCGTCACCGTCCTCCTGTGAAGATGCGGCAAAATCAAGTCTCGAAACCTTTGAAATTGAGCTTTTAAACCTAATGAATAATGCCATTTTTTTGGTAATGGGGCACAGAAAACCAGATCCATTCTCACCCAATTTCCTTACAGATTTCTGATAATACATCTGTCGTCTCATGTGACACATATTCCCTTTCAAGTTTCAATGATTTTTGTTGCTCTCTTATTCGTCCCAAAAAACATCCAAAAAAGAAGGAATATTCGGAGTTAGTTAGTTAAACTAGATATTACTTGACGAAACTTGGTTTTACACCACCAGCTTAGTAATAGTATTCCGGCTAGGGTTTTCTGTAAAAGAAGGCCTCATGGGTCTCCCGAGAGTAGACACTCCGATACTTAAGTCAGAAAAGGATTTAAAGAACGTATGAGAATAGTATTATGTGCTTGAGATAGCATACCCGTATTGTGGTGTGGCCAACCCTATTTATAGGTATGAAGTTACTTTGGAGGATGCCAAATTCTACTAGGTTTCATGTTCTAGAACCGTCTTTATCAAGTAGGTTAGACCATAGTTGGTTAATGAGCCGATTCAGTAATCCTCGGTAGATATGGACTCGTCATTACTACTCACTTACATCAACTCCTTCGATTATTACAAAAATTGAATCGGCGCATTGACTAATTTTGCATGATGGGATCTTTCCTTTTTTTGGGTTTCTTCCACGACAAACTGAATCAGACCCATCATTTCTCCAAAGAGTAGTGGTAGTAGAATATATCGGAAAAATGGATAAGTTTAATAAATGAGGAAGGATAATGTGACCAGAATTAGTAGACGACAGATTTCCAAGTTCCAAAATGAACCCATTCTTAAGTCTTGTAATAATTGTAAACCCTGGCAAATTTAACTTCTGAAAAATTTATGGTCCTAATTAATATAGTAGTAATAGTTATATTATATAGATCTGGTGTTGGAAAGTGATCCAATAAGTAGAAGGTTGGCAAAACCGTGTGCTGTACTATGTCTTGGAAAGTAGAACTAGTGAATTCTTGAACATACACTCAATTCCACAATAATAATTCTGTTTGGTTAGGTTTGTACGTTTAATGCAATTACACAATTATTTCGAGACAGATAAAATAATAAAATAAAATTCACTTTACAAAAATTATCTAAGATGCATGTTGGTTTCAAATTAATAATTGTGTCAAAGTTACTAGAACTCTCATTTCAAAACTAATAACTAATGAGTGGGGTGGCACAAATAATTTTAAAACAGGTCTCAGATCCTGAACACGGACGATATGGGATTCTTTGTCCCAACATCTTTCGTCAAGTCTAATAAAAATTTTATCCATTGCTTACAGTAAATAAGAACAATTTTTCTCCGGTTTATACCCATAGATCAGTCAAGCATTTAAAGCCGCGCTTAAGTCAAAACGCAATTGGTCGATCAAAATCTACCCACGGATCAATTTGTCCGATCGGATCGGTCAACAGAAATGGAATAAGAACGTAATGTAAGTACAATCTGTGGGCTAGCTCTGATACCATATCAAAGTCGCTTGAACTCTCATCTCAAAACCAATTGAAATGAATAGGGTAACACAAGTAAATTATAAATAGGTCTCAAATCTTTAACACGAATGATGTGAAATTCTATGTCCTAACAAATTACTCCCTCCATTCATAAATAGATGTCGCTGGAGAGATTTCACAAAGTTTAAGGAGGCAATAATTATCTTGTTATAATACTCTCATTTATTTTTAGTTCAATTGTAGTCCCAATAAAATTCAGTTCTAATACTCCAATTCTACATTAAACATTACTACAATTTCCAATGTAAGGGTAATATTGAAAAAAATTGATAAAATATGCCTCGATTTGTGATAACGACATCTATTTTAGAATATTTGGTTTTTCTTCCAATGACATCTATTTGTGAATGGAAGGAGTAGTAACTAGGTCCTCAAAATCTCAACCTAGCTATAGGCTATAGCCATGCTTCCAATTAATACGAGCTCAGCTAGTTGGGAGTGCTCTCGGGTTCTCTCTCTGGCCGCTTCCCTCCCCTTCTAACCCTAAAAAAATTCGATCTCTTCCCCCTCCTTTCCATCCTTCACGATGGAAAATAATTTTTTAGATCTTTAACTTTTGTATTTTTTTTAATTTAGTTTTAATAAACATAATCATAATCTATAAGTTTGTAGATTATGATTTACGAATTGAATATGACGGTGGCATTCTTGTTGTTGTTTACTGATCTGACAAACATAAATTCAAGGAGATTTCGTCACAATAAATCCAATTATTAGATCTATGATTTAAAATTTTCAACTCATAATTAGTATCACATCCTTGATTAGATTAAAATTTCAGCACGCAGTACAACTATTATTTTATTATATATATGTATGTATTCATGTTAAATACAATAATGACATTATGACCTGTTTGTTTCTATCTGTATCTTTCTTTTTTTTTTTTTTTTTTAATCACTAGTTGAACGATTTTCAACAAATTATTAATGAATTTACGTTTTATTTTTAAAAAAATTTTGTTGGGAGTGCATCAATCATTTTTTTTTGAGTGCATCAATCAATTATCTTATCTCTCTAGTTCAATTTAAACTGGCATTCTGCGTAATTATCGGTACGTTAATTTCTGTGTTTTATTGATAGATGTTTATATTTTCCATTTAACTTTATTTTTTATTATCATATATGACTACTAAAAGCTATACTAAAAGCAGAACACCAAAAATGTTAGTGAATATTCTAGTATCTACACTTCAAATTAAAGTTTCAATTGAACTACAAGTATTTTCGCAGAAATTTCAAGTTGATTACCCCGCGGAAAGTCACTAAGAGCTTGACAACCAGACTATGACCCTTTTGTCAAATTGGATCCCCCCTAACGATGAAAATCACGAAGAAAAATGTTGCATTCAACTATACATTGTCCTCAGTCACGACAATGGAAAAATACGGAGAAATCACGTTACAATGTATCAGCTTCATTGCACTCTTATAATTGATAATAAAGGGACGTCCATACTTTTCTATAAAATAAAACAATTATCAGAGATTAAAATTAACACATTATTAAATAAAAACATCTGTCTCGTAATGACGAAAAAGAATTATTAGCTGGAGAGAAGAATAATTGCCAAAACATTATGCATATAAATAATACATGCATGGATCCGGATTTTCGATTCTCTCCATGGATCCCTTCTTAACGATCATGTAATTTTTTCGAGAATGGGAATGAGCGTATGATCTTAGTAAAACAAAAATTGCATTCAAGAAAAAACCAAAAGAGACACACTTGCAATGAGAAGAGTGAAGTCCATATAATAATGTATATACCACACTTTCTAATAATTTTTTTTTTTTCTCAAGAAAATACAATAGTTCCCACCTTGACACCTTCCCATAATTATTAAACACCCAGTTGAGGTAAAATTAAATTTTCTTTTGATTTGAAGGTTATAACGCATAAATTGATCAAGTGCTCAAATATTTTGTAAGTTAATTACGTTAAAAAATCTATTCTAAGTGAGTAGCACTTATATGTGATTTCACTTCAAGGTTTCACTTCAAGGCAATTTAGTAATTTTTAAAGGTTCATATAAATTTACATATGGTTTTACCTCACAATCACAATTAATTACAAGGGAAGTAAAGTATGTGATTTCAGGTGTGCCTTTATTTCTATGCGGGATAAGGAAAATATGGGACCATTTTACTCATTTTAACAGTAACGAGATGAGTAACGATTGAGATTTTATGTGCGGACCAAATTGGCTTATAATTTTCAGAGGTAGGAGACAAGTACTGCATTTCACTTTTTTTTTTTTTTTCCCCTTTTTGTTTTCCTATGGATGTTAACAGCAGATATGAATGTTTTGAAAACGAACTATTACTAGGAAACACGAAAATTAGGCTTAATTAGTGTTATTGTTAAATTTCCGGAAAATCTAATCATGAAAAGACAAGAGAGAAAGTAGTATAAATTCGTTGTCTCATCATCAAGAAATTCATCCATCAACTTCCAAGTACAACTCAAACCCAAAGCAGCTAGCTTAAGCTTCCAATTAATACCCTCTCCCTCTCGAAACCCTTCATGGCAGAAGAAACTCCCAACCACACACAGATCGTTTCCGGCTGGGCAGCTCATGATACTTCCGGTTTCATCACTCCTTATGTCTTCAAGCGCAGGTCTGTACGTTTATAAATGCCTTGTCGATCGATAAAATAATATTCGTTCGACTCGTCCAATGTATTTTCTTAGCTTTTATCTAACTTTTGAAATATTTCTTTCGTTACACAAAAGTAGTCTATATTATAATTTGAAAACTATAATATTTTTTTATTATAATTTGTTTAAAATATGGACTATTTTTGGGTTACAAATTATAAGCAATAAACTAAGTCAATGACATTTCTTGTTTCGAGCTAAATTGTACTGATTAAACAAATGACAAGCAGGGAAAACGGGATCGACGATGTGACGATCCAGATATTGTATTGTGGGATGTGTCATACTGACCTACACTTTATCAAGAATGAATGGAACAGCACTATATATCCTATTGTCCCAGGGTTAGTTCTTTTTTCTTCGTAAATGATATGTGATGATAGATATAGCGAATTAATTAAGTAATAAAACTTTTTAAATACTCTTTATCATACTCTCTCCGTCCCACAAAAATAGTCCACATTGAGTTTTGAGTTTTGTACTGTTTTTAGTATAAAATTGAAAACTCAATGTAGACTATTTTTATGGAGAGGAGGTAGTATTTCATATTGTAAATAATGGAATTTCCGTTTTCCATATATATTACGTTAGTCATGATTGTATAAATGCGCTGTATCGGTTATGTCGCAATTTATTTTTATTTTTTTGTTTTTTTTTCCGGGCACAATTGTTATTCTTCTTTAATATACTATAGCTCTGGATATTGAGGCAAGTATAATTGTAATGTGCAATCAGGCATGAGATTACTGGGATAGTAACAAAAGTGGGCAGCAATGTGACAAAATTCAAGATTGGGGACAAAGTTGGAGTAGGGTGCTTGGCAGCAACATGCTTGGAATGTGAACATTGCAAAGATTCACAGGAGAATTACTGTGACCAACTTCAGCTTACTTACAGTAACATTTTCTGGGATGGAAGCATCACTTATGGGGGCTACTCCGACATAATAGTATCTGATCAAAGGTCCACACTCATTCAACACAATATCCTGTCTGATTAATATTTTTACAACTCTTTCCATTCCAAAAAACTAATGTACTATATAGGAAAAATACTAACATTAGGGTTTTTTGTTTCCGCTCTGTAGATATGTGGTGCATATACCGGATAATCTACCAATGGATGCAGCTGCACCACTGTTGTGTGCCGGTATCACGACTTATTGTCCACTGAAAAACGAGGGATTATTGGAGAAGGATTCATTTCCGAAACGCGTCGGCGTCGTTGGGTTAGGAGGGTTAGGTCACATGGCTGTGAAATTTGCAAAGGCTTTTGGTCACCATGTCACAGTCATCAGCACATCACCTTCCAAAGAACTTGATGCTAAACAACAACTTGGTGCAGATGATTTTGTGCTCAGTACCAATCCCGAACAAATGCAGGTTAATTATTTTCAGGCAGTTATTTGAGTATTTTTATGGTTGTTAAAACCACTCTGACCAGCATATTAAGTCCGTGCGCTACTTTCATGTGAAACTACACGTGGACTTATATGGATCTTTTAAGTTATTGTTTTCGGTCGGTTTACTTTTATTTTATTTTTATTTTTCTGGCTTGCAGGCCAGAAGAAAGACACTGGACTTCATAGTGAACACTGCAACGGCATCGCACTCAATTGGGCCATTTTTGGAGCTACTGAAAGTGAATGGAACTCTTGTGGTTGTGGGCTTACCAGTGAATCCCATAGGCTTGCCACCATTCCCACTGGCTTTCGGAAAGAGAGTGGTGAAAGGCAGCTTAATTGGGAGCATTAAAGAAACCGAAGAAATGTTGGAGGTGTGCAGAAAGCATAACATCGTCTCTGATATTGAGATCATCCAAACCACCCAGATCAACGAGGCTTTTAAGCGTCTGGAGAGTAATGACAATGTGAAATACCGTTTTGTTGTTGACATTGCCGCCGGCGGACAAAAGCATGCATGATCACCCGGCCGGCCCCGGCCCCATCAGTTCAGTTGACGGCCGGCAAGAATAAATTATGGATTACCAGCTAGCATTTTGATATTTGGATTTGTCTGTTCCATTTTACTGAGACCCAGTTCATTGAAGTTTTCTTGTATTCTTTATCCTTTTTCTTATGGTGCGTGATTAAATTTTATTTTCTGCTCGAAGGATTGTTGTAATATGCATCAAGATTGTGTTATTTTATCTCAAGATATGAAAATTATTATTTGTTGGTATAGCTAATTTTTCTCCACATATTAAGATTTATTTATAGCATAGTTGGAAGATTTTGATACCCGTAAAATAAGCATGCAATAGTAGAAAATATTTTACCATAATTAAAAATAAAATATTAGAGTTACCCTGTGAAATTGGCAGTTTAGACGCCAAAATCCTAATCCTTTAGTTCAATAATATGAATATCTCCTTCCATTTTAAAATATACACTTTAGATTTTGCATCTAAACTAAAGAGATAATCATTCAACAATTAATACACTATGTGTATGTTTTATTCCTCATTAGTTATATTAAACCTTTATATAAGACTAATTAAAAAGAGTTAGCATCATTTATTGAGAGTAGAATTGAAAAATTAGTAATTAATTGGTATTGAAATTCTAAAACCAACTAATTTTAGAATATTTCTCCAAAATTAAAAGAGACTAAATTTTCAAATGAAAGAGTACCACTCAATTGCAAAATTAGAAACCCCTAAAATGTGGTTGATTCCTAAATTACAACCCTTTCTTTAATACTCCTCCATTCCAAAATAAGTGTCATTTTAGATTTTGTACATAGTTTAAGAAACTCTTAAATAGGGTAATAAAATTACTTGAATATTCTCAACCAACCATATTAAAAAAAATCCACCGACAGTATTAATTCTTTTGAGGATAATTTTGAAAAGTTTGAACAAAAATTACATTGAAATGTAAGAACGACACTTATTTTGAAATTTCTCTATTTTACTAAAACTGACACTTAATTTAAAACGAAGGAAGTACTTACCGGTCCTCCTGCCAGGGCTTCCGTTACCAATACCTGTTGTAGAATTTTCACTTGTTTGAGTCACTACGAAACTTCAGTTCCCCAAATCCATAGACCAATAAATACCTAGTGTGGAGATTCCGATTCAGCTCAACACAAGTACACTTTTTTTTTCGAGGTTTGGTAATGTAAACTGCAAAGGAGGTAGAAAGCATGACATATTATTTCCTCCATTCCAAAATAAGTGTCAGAACGACTTAAATATGATAATAAAATTACTTGAATACCTCAACTAACCCTATTAACACAAACTCTTACCAATAATACAAATTCTTTTGAGGGTAATTTTAAAAATTCTGATTAAAAAATGTATTGAAATAAAAGAACGATACCTATTTTGAAATTTTTTTTATTTTGCTAAAACGACATTTATTGCGAAACGGAGGGAGTAATACATTACGAAATAATATAGTAACTCGAATCGAATCTTGTTCTATGTATGGTTTCATCGATCAACACAAGTAGGCTACAATTATTTGCCTCTTTTCTGATTCTGCCCGGCCCCACATCCCCATTTTCATCGAAATCATGAAAATGAAGTTTTCATCACTTTAGTCTCAATTAATGTTAGGGTAGTTCATTGGATCTAAGCCTATCAATCAGTTGGTATACTCCACATCAAATCTCGAAATTTGTAAGGTAACGTGGTTATTGTGGAACCAAAGTGGTTGTAGTTGAGTAGAAGTGACTTCTCCACTCTTAACCATTGGTTGAGAGTTTGAATCTCGCCATGAAAATGGATAAATATTAAATACTTTGGCCAGCTGTCCCACCCATCGAGATGCCTATAAATCAACGAAGGGAATTTGTCACTGTTTCCGACGGTAGACACCCTGTAAATATGCAAAAAAAAAAAGATTTGTAAAATTAATTTTAACATAAATTTGAAAATTTAATGTGAACTATTTTGTGGGACAGAAGGAGTATTACATGCTATTATAATATTTTTTTTTTTCAGCCAATAGGTGGTTCAAAAACTAATATCCATAAAACCGCTAATCAGCCGTAAGAAAGCATTGAGTTTGTACGAATAACCAACAAAAAAAATCATTTATTATCGGTGGGACTTGGGAGCAATACGAAAAGTTTTAAATGCCAAAACCTAAATCTTGCGAATGGTCTATTTTCGTGGCCTTCTATTTCTTGCGCTCTTTTTTTTCCCCTCCCTTTTCTTGGCTATTATGTTTATATAATTGTAAGTGAAACTATATAAAAAAAAATTATAATTCTAATTGTTGGACCACTTTCCTCCAAAATCTTTCAGAATCGATAGTCAGTTTAGGTTTGACTTGCTGACCAATTATAATTACTTGTACCGTTGTATAGTTATACTAGCTACTAAAATTTCAATTCGACAATAATTTACTATGTCATCATCAAAATAATAGTCACAACTGATATTATGCTTTTTCATTAAATATAACTGGGATGATTAACATAAGGGAAAATTTGGTTGAGAGACAGTGGAGATAATAATAAAAAGGGTACCAAAAAATATTATTCATTAAGGGCCATAGGTGTCTTGCCTAAAATCATAAAATTAAAAATAATTTTACTTAGATGTATTTGCCTTTTCATTTCTCTAAAAAAAAAAAAAAGAAAACCTACGAAAAGAAAATTTGATTCAGTATTGTCAGCATTAACCCCAAGAAAAAATATATATTAAATGCACTCAAAGAAATTGCATAAACGGAAAAAAAAAAAAAAAAAAGAATTTAACCCCTCCAGAAAATGATCATTCGCCCAATTTGGAGTTTCCAAGCATTTCCGGAAGCCTTCGGTGGACTTAATAAATGTTCTTTTTTTTTTTCCCCCTCATTCGATGATACCCACATCATTATCCTTGTGAATTCGATAGTATTATTGCAACTATTCTTATATTTTACTCCAACTTTGTGTTTGGACCGCTTTCGTCCCACTCCGTCAATAATTTGTTGTTTACTTACTTATTATTTTTGAAAGATTTTTTTTTTCAATAAGGGCAAATATGTCTTGGTATAAGTGTTTTAGTTCTATAATTTTGGACAAAACATCTATTGTCCTTAAGACATTTTTTTTTTTGTCATATCTTTTTATTAATTTCATATTTCTACTTTCCTTTAATCAAATGTCCCCTTAACATAATCATCATCATACTCATCAGACATATATATAATTGGGGAATGTTAATTCACATTTTCGTAGTCCCTCATTTAATTTTGTCAAAAACAGTTTTGGATAAACGATTTTCTTCTATTTACAATTTCATTATTAACTCATTTGTTACAATTATTTCTATTTTTATGACAATAAACACTTTCTTATCATCAAACAATATAATAGATCTTTGATATCTTTTCTATTAATTCCTTCTTTTATTTTTTATTTTTATGATTACAAAAAAAAAAAAAACCATTTCTCACTCCTAGGTGAATTTGGTCAGCCGATTTCGGTTATTCTCTATAAATTCTTACGTCTTTCTTTTTTTTCTAGATTATTAATATATAATTCTAAGTAGTGCAAGAATTTTGTCCCTTCTTTCTTTTTCTTTCTTTTAAATCTTTGATTTTAACTCTCCTTCCCAAGTCGTTGGAGGTAATATTTCATTGTTCATTTTATCCTTTTTTTTAATGGAGTTTAGATTTTGTCATTATTTTTTTTTTTTTTTTTTACTTTTTAAAAAAGTGCTGAGTGTGTTTTGTTGCACACTTTGCATATCTAAGTTTTGTTTTTCACTATCGGAATACTATATGTCAATTCCGTCAAAATTAGTAGTGTCACATTTTAGTGATATTATTTTGTTCATATACTATTGAATTGTATTTTTACTATTAATAAATTTGTTTAAATATTTGTAAATAGTGTAATCGACAGTAACGTGACTCATAATTTTTATCATTTTTTCTTATGAAAAAAGTTTATATTATATATTATATATCATACGCGCTAATCGCGTGTAATCCATCTAGTAATAACTAAAGTAATATTGTTGCTCAGAATTTAGACATTAATCTTTACCGGCCTAAACTTCTCTGTAATAGAAATCAATACATATCCCTAGAAAATGCAATATATAAATATATAGGGAAATAATAAGAGAATAATAGAATTTCATTTGCTGATAATTAAAGAAAAAACACCAAATCTCGACTTTTTTTAGAAGCTGTTTTTTCTAACCTAATCAAGTTCCTTCTTGTTGGGGATTAATCCGGAGAAGAAAACTCGACATGAAGCCCAATAAGTAAGATAAGACCCATCTGAACTCAAAAGCTCAAGCTAATGGGTTTTGAGACCACCTTACTTATTAACTGATTCACATGTCCTAATGCCTCCGATGTGGGATTCACAATCCTTGCCACATGACCCTCAACATTCTCCTCCGTCATGGGCAATCTCCACATCTGGCTTCCAAATTATCTTACCAAGCCCAAATCTGTACTCCACATGAGTAACTGGGCCGCCCATCTCTACGTTTCCGCTCGTAGTGGGCCTTTGACTGCATGGGTTCAGTCAGATCAACTGAGATAATTTGGGCTAAATCACCCACCTAACTAGACCAACCTAGGCTCTGATACCACTGTTGTGCGGAAAGGGTATAAACACAATACACTACGGAAGCGAACCCCAAGAAAATCTCCTTTCCTACTACCAATAAAATAGGACAACCAACCAAACAAGCAAATAATTCAAGAACTGATAAAGTAAAGTACACACACGAATTTACGTGAAAAACCCAAACTGAGAAAAACCACGGGACTACAAAAACAGTCAAATCTCCACTATCACAATAATGAAAAACAGTCTTCACCAACCGGTGGATACACAGGACTTCACCCAAAGGTGGATTACAATAATACTCTTATCACACACCCCTATCACAAAGTAAGACTGGAAGGATCTCACCAAAAAAAAGTTAAACCGAAAACTAAACCCCAGCTTTCTTTCGTTTTC